ATCTAGTTTTCCATAGAGCCCGGTCTTTTTGAAAAATAAATAAATTGACTTGGACTCACTTGGTATTAGTAAATAATATAATTCATGACTGTCTTTATTACTGATTAAAATTGTACGTGACAATGACTACTGTTTTTTTACGATTACTGTTTAAACCTGTGCTTATTAGTACAATTTTCAATACGAAAGATCACGTAATTGACGTAATTGTGTATATTATAAAACGGTCCTTTTGAGGACCATCGTATATTAATTTATATTATAAAAATCATTTTCAAGACGTATTTAAAAATACGTAAAAGTGATTGAAAATGAAACGTCAAAATGAAATATATAACCATGAAATGGCATTATATAGAAGAAAAGTTGTGTTGCTGTATGTGTGGCATAGATGCCAAATACAAAAAAAGTAAGTTTAATGAGAATGCATCTTTCAAGTTGTCAGCATCAATGTAATTTGACTTAAAAAAAACACGAAAAATTGCTCTAAAAATAAAAAAAAATATAGTTCAGGGGACTACATCTGATTTCAGGGGACACACCACACACATTTATTAATTGAACTGCTACTTTTGGCCTTTGACAGTTTTCCTTTTCTATAACAAAAATAAAACCTGTGGGGGCCTTAGGCGTAATTAGGGGAGGAAGCCTTGTAAAGTATCCGAATAAAAGTATTTGTATAATTTTTCTTTGTATTCGAATACTATTTTAAATACGTATTCTGAATACTTTTATTTGTATTTTTTATTTACACACTTTGATTTTCAATGGACACAAATTGTGCCAGAGGACACTGTATTTTAGCCCCCGAATTATACTTAAACAACCTAAATAGGTCTTAAAAGAACTATTAAATTTGAATTTCAAAACGGTTTTTAATCTAGCTAACAGTTAAAAATGTTTTAAGTATTTTTTGGGTACTGGTTTGTTATAGCCCCGCCACGGCGAGTGAAAACTTTATAGCCCCGCCACTCAGGTTTGTTATCGCCCCGCGATAATATAATAAATATAAAATAATGAGACGGAAAATACGTACCATAACTATTAGGTACCTACCATAGGTGTACATCACAAATAATCAATAATATAATAATATAATAAAGTGATATTATACCGATCAAACATCACAGTACGTATTTGTTCGCATTTCAGACATCATCATGAATTTTAAAGATTTGTTAACACAAGTGCCCGATATAAATGCCGAAATTCAATTTCTCCAGTCCAAAAATATAATTGAAATGACCAATACATGTGATAATGGCCACGAAATGTTTTTGAAAGGTTCGAGGTGGCGATGTCAACAAGGGATTGTCGTAAAGAGAAAGGTATTAGGGTAAATAATTGGCTGAACGGTTCGAGATTGCCGATAAATAGTATTGTGTATTTTATATACTCTTGGGCTCATGAACCTTACTTCAGTGACATATTGCAAACGTGAATTGGGTATTGGAAAAAATGCGGTAGTCGATTGGAACAACTACTTACGAGAAGTTTGTGTTTGGCGCATGGAAAGCAACCATAACAATCAAGTAGGTGGTCCAAACTTAATAGTTGAAATAGATGAAAGTCTTTTCGTACGCCGGAAAAATAATGCAGGGCGTATATTACCTCAACAATGGGTGTTTGGTGGTATATGTCGTGAAACCAAGGAATGTTTCATAGTTAGTGTGCCAAATAGATCAGAAATTACATTGATACCTATTATTAACCGATATATTAGACATGGTTCTATAATTTTTTCTGACAGTTGGAAAGCTTATGCTAATTTGCAACAACATGGTTTTCAACATAACCAAGTCAATCATAAATATAATTTCGTGGACCCTAACTCAGGAACCCACACACAAAATGTTGAAAGAATGCGGAGTTGCCCGATTGCGGCCCGAATTCAGGTAGTCGTATTTTATCCCAAATATAAGTATCCCGATTGCGTCCAAGGACACATTGGTTCACAAAATACCTTATAATTAATATATATATAATAATAAAGTATTTCAAAATTATTATGAAACAAGTATAAAGTATAAAAATAAATCAATAATATAAAATAAATACTTTCTGAATTAATTTCTGTATACAATTTTAAAAGTATATATATATATACAAATAGTCAAATATTAAAATAATAAATTGTTTACAATAAAAAAAGACATGAAATATAATTAATTTGTTAATAAATAGGTACCTAGTCGAATATTAAAATAATAAATTGCTTACAATAAAAAAATATGTGAAATACAAATAATATGTCAATGAATAGTAAAATAATTATTGTGTTAGAGGTAGATTTTTAAAACTTATTATTTTTACAAAATAAAAATTAGATATTTCCAAGTTTTTTAATTTTGTAATTTTGGTTAGTATGAATTTTTTTTATTAATTTGTTTAGTTGTTTCCCGAGGAGTACAAGCAATAGATTGCATTTTTATTTTAGCATCTGTTTGGCATTGTTTCAAAATTTCCAAAAATTGAAATATACTTGGATGTGAAGTATAAAATTGTGAATTGAATTTCGAATAAAAACTTTCACAAGCATTTGTTGTCAAATACATACTGGAACTACAAGTAGCCCATATTTCAGGGGGAAAATCAGAATCATCATCAATATAAGTTTCTACTAAATAATCACAAAATGTTTGTATTTTAGCTGTTGATGGTTGTATAGAAGCTAAATCTATGGCAAAACATTCACCTACCATTTCAGGTTCTAAAAATGGTAATCCAAATATATATGTTAAAAACTTTCCTATATCACTATCTTTGTCTTTATAATCCGTACTTAACCCTAAAGATTGTATTTTTTTCTCCACCACGATTGACTTAGATGGAACCTGCAACCTTTTATAGTAGCCAATGGCCAAGTTAAACGAATTGCCTTGTGTACAGATGTATTTCAAAATCTACGAATATTACATCGGGCTTAAAATTAAAATTAAATGTATTACATTGTTCTATTAGTCCATTAAATGCATTTTGATAGCTTTCAAATTTTTTGTCTGATAATAAAAAATATGCAATAGGATAATAATGACCATTATTCAATGCATGGACAATAAATAATTGACAAAAATATTAAGTACAGCATCGGAATGTCCCATCGACATAAATTTGATAAATTGATGATAAATTTCGTAAGTTACTTTCACAAGAAAATAGAAGAAAATTCTTAATATTATCGTTGATAAGTAAAAATTGTTCACCTTCGTTTGTTTTGATATCAATGGACTTTAAAACGTCATGTACTTCTTGTATATTGGTTGGTTTAGCTGGAAGGATTTTTCTACGGGCCTCATAAATTCCTTTTCGAAAGCAATTCACATCTGTAGTGGTAATATTCTCAACTCCTATAAAAGAAAAATGTTGTAACTAATAATACGTATGTACCTATTATAAATTATAAATTATTAATTATTGACTTACCACTTTCTTTTAAACCACCATGGATTAATTTTGACGGTCGCTCACAAATATTTTCAGTTGCCTTTCTTTTAATACCATTACGTATTTTTTGACGTTTCAAAATCTGTTCAGTATTGGCTTCATGATTGTGATCATCAACGTCAAATTTACTTTGGTTTCTTAAAATTTCTTTGTTGTAGCGCTTGACAAAACTTTTACAACTTTTATATGTACGACACCATTTTTCTATTTCATTTGCTAATAACTTATGAAATCGAAATTTATATTTAAATATTACTAATATTGGTTTATCTTTTTCGCTAAGCATTTCGTACATTTCCATAATTTAAACTTTATAAAACGAAGAACCAAACGACACTATAACAGCACAATATAAAACTGTGTTCCACTAGCAACCTTGCAATCTTACAGTTTATCTGTATTTCTTTTTATCTTTAATGGACTGGAAATTACCACGCCGAATATTGGTGATCGTATGAATGGTGAATACGATAGTTATATTTATGTCAATATACGTATAGGACACAATCGGGATATTTATTTAGTTTTGATAACCACTTAAATATTATTTCCTACCTATTATGGACGGGCCGCAATCGGGATAGATGAAAAGGTAAAAAGGTTACTCTGGGCCGCAATCGGGCGACGCCCAAAGAATGTGGGGTTCGGCCAAATGGGGCAACAAAAAACGTAGAGGGACGGATAGAATTTTTTTAGACTCGTACTTGGCAGAATTTATGTGGCGATCAAAACTGAATAATAGTGATCCGTTTGAAACCATTTTAAAAGATATAGCAGAATTTTGGGAATCACATAAAGCATAAACATTTTTAATTATATCATTTTTTTTATATTTATTATTATTATTATATTCAATTTTTTAATATTAATTTTTTTAAATATTATATATTATATCGTAAATAAATAAACTTTTTTAATTATATCACTGTTTTATATTATTATTATATATGAATGGCGGGGGGATAACAAACCTGAGTGGCGGGGCTATAAAGTTTTCACTCGCCGTGGCGGGGCTATAACAAACCAGTACCATTTTTTGTAACAAGAAGGTAAAATTAAATTCTTCAATTATCGGAAAATATATAATAATGACAAATAGTTATCTTGTATTTTTTCTATCAGTTATTAAAAAATCAATTTAAAAAAAAATCTTAAAACCTAAAATCAAAACTAATAATTGCTTATATAGGTTCATATATTATTAAAGCAAATCTTAAGATGGCAAAGCATCCTTTAAAATGTTCTCAAAAAAGATGCAAGTCATAAACAGCCTTACTTATAATTGAACTAGGAGATTGATGACTTGAAGTTGCTTATTATTTTAAATATTAGTTTAAGGAAAGAAATTTAATTTTGCATAAAATGATAGTTTTTACCTCTAAATGTATTGTCTTTGATACATTTTAAATTGATTTAATATAAATATATTATCTAGTGCTGAAAGAAGATGGCATGTGCGACCGATACTGCAAGATCGTCATTTTTATGGCGACTACAGCAATTTAGTGTCCGAGCAACAACTCAGCAACTCAGCACTGTACCACAATTTTATCCGAATGAGCTCAACAACATTTGAAGAGCTAGTTTGTTTGGTTGGTCCTCATGTAACAAGATTTCCAAGTTTTAGAAAGGATACTTTAGTTGTTGGTGAAATATTATCATGTACATTGAGGTATGTATGAGTTGCATAATACTTTTATTTTTATTTATTTATTATATTTATCTTTCCCGTGTAAATAAAACTTATTTATTTATAAATAATATGCCTATTTAGATACTTGGCTTCAGGAGATAGTATGATGTCTTTGGTGTACTCTTTCCGTATGGGTCATTCAACAATATCAAAATTGATTTGTGAATGCTGTTCAGTCCTTTGGCAGGTTCTTGAGAAAAAGGTAGGAATAGTATTTAAAAATCTACAGGCAATTGTACCTGTATTTATGTAAAGTGTACTTAACATACATGATTCATGAGTCATGATCAAAAAATATATACCTAAGCAACATACTAAATAGCATTAAATATTTTAAGGTTTTATTAACTCCAAGTGTCTTAAATTGGAAAGAACGGCTAGAGAATTTGAAGACAAGTGGAATTTATGACATTGTGTTGCAGCGATTGATGGAAAACATATTGTTCATCAAGTGAATTATTTTTATTTTATTTCTTATCCTACCTAAAGATACTAACCATATATTTCAGGCTTTTTCAAATGATGGTACACATAGTACAGTTTTGTTGGCTATGTGTGACGCCAATTATAATTTTTTGCTGGTCGATAATGGGGCTCCGGGAAGATGCAGCGATGGAGGGGTTTTCAGGAGTAGTAATATTGGCAAAGCTTTTGCCAATAAAACAATACACTTACCTGAACCTATAGATATTGATGGTGTGAATGGATCAATACCATACTTTATGGTAGGAGATGAGGCATTTCCACTTACCGAATACTTGATGAGGCCATAATCCTGGTCGTGGAAGATCTACTATGCCAAAAGATGAAGAAATTTTCAACTATAGGTACATTTACTATAAGAATACACTTTACCCACATATTATTAATGTACAACATACTAAATTTGCTTTTAACAGAACCAATTTTTTTTTTTTTAGCTTCAATTGAGTAGTATTTTAGAGAAATGTTTAAGATTTTATGTTAGTAGATATTATTTACTGAATGCAAATTTTCTATGTACATGTAGTATGTTTTTTGAGACACTTAATATAGATGTGGTGATATATTATTAATAAAAATTATTACTTTTCAAATATTAAAATTATACCAATAAAATATTCCAAAAAAAATATTAAGGTTAAGCAGAGCACGACGAACTATTGAAAATGCTTTTGGCATACTAGCATCAAGATTTAGGATTTTCAGAAAGCCAATAATAGTTTCAGAAAAAACAATAATAAATATAACAAAAGCAACAATTGTTTTACACAACGTTATAAAAAAGTTAGAAACAGAAGCAGGTAAATATTATGGAATAATATATTAATAAAAATAATAATATAGTAATATTACGTTAACAGGTATAAGCATGTACAACCAAACCATATCATGCAGTACAAGCAACATGCAAACAGATGAACTACAAGGGTTAGTCCCAATAAACCGTTCAAATGCCAAAGAAATAAAGGACAAATTAAAAATATATGTTAATCATGCAGGAGCTTTAGAGTACCAACAGAGACAGTTATAAAAGAAAATTAATAGACATATACTAAAAATAAAACTTGTACTAATCTTTTGAACGGTGCTTTTTTTTTGCAGCAAACACCAATGCTAATATATCCTCTTCCAATTGAATTTTTAAATTATTAGGTAAATCTTTCTTTGTTTCAATCAAATAGGTGCAAAATGTGTTAGTCACTGATGGTGTTGTAGTAGGTGGTGGTGGTGGTGTTTTAGGCCTAGACGATATTAATTCGTTTAATAGTCCTTTAAAGGTAGACGATGGTCCCACAAAGCAGGATGTTTAAGCACTGCCCCAATAATGGAAGAATATAAAGCTTCATTCCTAACTGTGTCACCATCTATTTCCGTAGTCTTTGGCCTAATATGTTGTGGCTTAATTGCTGTCCTCACTCGATCCGACGATTGTGATGTGCTAGGTATCAATGAAGTATCTATAAATATTAAAAAATGTAATTTAATAATACAAATATTGAATTACAATTATAAACAGTATAATAATAATGGTATTATGATTTAAAGTAGGTCTGTTAACTGAATAGTTACCTACATAAGGCTGTATAAAAACATATTATTTAAATTTAACTTCAATATTTTATTTGAAAATGTAATTATTATACTGTACTCTTAACATGATACATACCTAGTACATTATAATCGTGGACGAAATGAGGCAAATACAACCTTTGGAATTTTGAACACGTTTTAACCACAACAGACATGGCAAAATGGTACATATAAATATTCAATATTGCAATACCTATAGCAATATGACTATATAAAATGATGCAGATGACGACGGACTGTAAACACGTATGAGCGACGAGCGTAGTTCAGTAGTTGTCGGCTTGTCGCAGTTACAAAATATGCAAATTGTAAATCGCTAATTCGAAATTTGTTATCAGTAATCACAATCATGTAATTTTAGTCAATATTCAATAATAATAGTGATAGTAAATTAATAATCTATAATCACTCTTTAACCGTTTATACCAGAAACGACAAAAGTTGAGATGTATTCAATTCTAGGTATCCTCGGTTTAAACTTGGTTATACCAACATACCAAAAGTTAAACGTCCAATCAGAATGCGAATTGACCAACACGACGAGACACACGACGTAGCTGTGAATCCGGCTTAATTGTGAATTATATTACTTACCAGCCTGTTTAATAACATTTATTCCATAGCTATTCCAAAACGCTCCATGTGCTGCAGAGGTTTTACACATTTAATTTAAACTACAATAATCTTTTTTCTTTGAAAGATATTTACAGTATAATTTGTTCCCAGTTTGAAGCACCCACGCAACAGGTACAAGATCAATGGAAGTTTTGGCATTTTTAGACTTGACATCAAATTTAACTACAAGATGCGTGGTGTCTTTTTCAAATATTAATTGTTTCATTTTAACAACGAAAATGATCAGTGAAATCATAAAATTCATAATTATAAGGTTTAACAAGTATCTAATAAGAGAATTTTATCATTAAAATTTTATTTTTATTTTGGCATATTAAGTTTACAATATTTTTTTTAAATATTTTTATTTTTATTAAAAACAAGTAAAATTTATCTAAATTTAAGCTCTTTATTAAAATAATTAAACACATATTTATTTATTTATTTATTTATACGGACAAAAGTCCAATTCACAATATATTTGTATACATAGATAACAATATCTTCTTCTTCTTTATATATAAAAATGGAGACAAAAAATTAGAAATAGCATCAGTTGAGAACGGCTTGGCCGATTTTGCTCAAATTTTTTTTAAATGATAGAGAATGTCAATGAGTGGGTTTATAGCATAAATTATGGACCTAACTCATGTTTGTTAGAGATTTAGAGACAAAAACTGAGTTACACCGGTGGCGCCCTCTAGCGGATAAAAATAAAAATATAATATAGATAATAATAAAAATCGAAAAAAAAAAATTTTTATATTCTGGTTGATATACATTTTTTAATATAGACACTTATAACTTTAGAGTAAACAAATAATAATGTTGGCACATTATTCATTTTACTTTGAAACATTATCGTTTTATGTTATCTATGAACTTTTTCAATCAAAAACGACTATTGTTTTTTGGAGAGAATTTTTATGCTTGAATCATGCCTCCTATGAGAAGAACAAACATTGGACGGCGTACACGTAATGCAAGACACATTAATAGTCACATTTTAAAATAATATAATATCTTCTTATTTATTTTATTCAATTAAATAGATAACAATACAACTTAAATAACAAACTTTGAATATAAACAAATGAATAACAATCTTAAAAAACAATATTTTTTTATTAAAATTAAAAATAAAGAAAAACTTATGTACCTAATTTTATTGAATCAGTCTTTGATTTACAAATTATAAGCCTATGATATGTGTTTACATAAGAAGATGAATAATGTACAACAAAACTATTTTTGTCAAAAATGTAACTTGGATCCTTTTCAACAAATCACCATTCAAATATACGTCATTGAGATAGCACATCTATATATATAAAACTGAAATCAAGCAAAAGAGGAAATCTTTGTTACGGTTTGGCTTCGAAAGGCTATTTAAAAATGGTTAAATTTGGTTTTTTTTATTCATCTGATATTAGACGGTTAGGTTAGGTTAGGATTTTGTATTAATAGATTATATTAATCCATTATAGGTGGAACACGTCAACACGACAAATTTGCTATAACTTTAATACATAAGAGTTAAATCATACAGTTACGTACAAACAGCACGGGGTCCGCGATCTACCGCAGGTAGATTGCCTACCTGATAATATACTGCTGCAAATTAGAATTTTTATTCCGGGCACCGAAAAAGTTAAGATACATTTTGAACACCATACACCGAATATTATAGATAACGAATTGAACACAGTTTGAGGCATATAGAGTTGGTACATTGAACGGGAAATGAAGTGCACGGGATCAGCTAGTCTATATATATAAAAATGGAGACAAAAAATTCGAAATTGCATCAGTTGAGAACGGCTGGGCCTAATAATAATTGAAATCGATTAATATCGATAAAAATCGAAAAAAAAAAATATTTTTATATTCTGGTTGATATACATTTTTTATTAGAGTAAACAAATATAATAGTTGGCACATAATTCATTTTATTTTGAAACATTATCGTTTTATGTTATCTATGAACTTTTTCAATCAAAAACGACTATTATTTTTTGGAGAGAATTTTTATGCTTGAATCATGCCTCCTATGAGAAGAACAAACATTGGACGGCGTACACGTAATGCAAGAAACATTAATGAATTTAAACGCGCTCATAATACTCATCTCCTGGCAATTACGAACATCTTAAAAAAAATTTGAGACAAATCGGACCAGCCGTTCTCAATTGATGAATTGTTATACATTTTTGGCTCCATTTTTATAATGTCTGGGATTTGAACTCGATACCGTGGTCTTTATTTACTCTATGATAGACGTAGACATCTCTATGGCAATATTAATACTGATGTATTATTTATTATTATTTATCAGCTCGATGTGCAATCAGTATAATTTATGGTTTCTATAGTTATTTTATAGTTTTGTGTTCATTATATATTTTAATATATTATATAAATTAATATGTGTGTGTGTGCGTGTCCATATTACAGTGGTACCATTTATATATTATTTTAAGATTTCCGATGGAATTTTAAAACATATTATTCATATAGAGTTGTCATTTTTAATGGGCAACAAATTATATATAAATGAATGTTTGTGTGTACTGTGTAGATTAGACCTCCGAGAAGAAGACTGGCTATAATTTAAAAATGTTCAAATTTGGTTTTTATTTTATTCATCTGATATTAGTACGGTTAGGTTAGGTTAGGATTTTGTATTAATTAATTATATTATTTATTTATCCACCATAGGTGGAATACGACAAACTTGGTATAACTTTGATACTTTAGAGTTAAATCATACACTTACGTACAAACAGAACGGGGTCCGCGATTTACATCAGGTAGACTGACTACCTGATAATATACTGCTGCGAATCAGAATTTTTATTTCCGTCAACGGAAGAGTTAAGATACATTTTGAACACCATACAACGCATATTCAATAACGAATCGAACAAAGTTTTAGTCATAATATATAGAGTTGGTACATTCAATGGGCAACGAAGTGCACGGGATCAGCTAGTCTATATATATAAAAATGGAGAAAAAAATTCGAAATTGCATCAGTTGAGAACGGCTGGGCCGATTTTGCTCAAATTTTTTTTAAGATGTTCGTAATTGCCAGGTGAAGGTTTTTACGAAAGAAAATTTTTAAAAAGTCAACCGAATAATTAGAAAAACTGCAAAAACTATTTATTGATGTCTGGGATTTGAACTCGGTACCGTTGTCTTTATTTACTCTATTGTGTATTATATTATATTGGTTGCTATTGGTTAATCGGGCATGTTTGTTGATTTGTATTATTATTTTTTGTAAATATATCTTATATATAAATGAAAGATTAGACCTATGGAAAGAAGATACGCTAACTTAAAAAGGGTTAAATTTGGTTTTTTTATTCATAGGATTTTAGTACGGTTAGGTCAGGTTAGTATTTATAGGTAGGTGGAATTAAGTAAAAACGTCAAACTTGGTATAACTTTGGTATTTTTTGAGTTAAATCATACACTTACGTACAAACAGCACGGGGTCCGCGATCTACCGCAGGTAAATTACCTATCTGATAATGTACTGCTGCAATTCAGAATTTTTATTCCGGGCAACAGAAAAGTTAAGATAAATCTAGAACATCATACACCGAATATTAAATAACGCATTGAACAATGTTTGAGTCATGTAGAGTTGGTACATTTAACGGGAAACGAAGTGCTCGAGATCAGCTAGTATAATATAATTTAAAATAATAAAAAATAACATAATAAAAGATGAAACGATTAATATATAGAATAATAGTAATAATAATTAATAATAATAATAATAATAATAGTAATAATAATAATAATAGAAATACATTCAATGTTTATTAAAATAATATTTACTATTTCCCAAGGTATTAAAATATTTATGGGGTCGTATGACGTATACTTTTTAGATGAATGAGGAATATAAAATAAATGATTTTTGCGAGTGTAGTGGTTTTTGACTTTGAAATTTAATTTACTTAATAAAAATCAATCATCAATCTTGTTATTTAGCAAATCGGTGAGATAGGTGTTGTATGATAAGTGTCTACGTACATTTAAAGGTTCTAAGTTTAACAATTTTAAAATATTTCCGTAACCAGAGTGAGGAGTCCTTTGAACATTACATTTATGACCTATAAATCTGAGAGCTTCATTTTGAACTTTTTCAAGTTGATCATTATGTCCTACATTGTTGTGGTCCCAAATTAATGAAGCGTATTCTAATAAAGAACGGACTAGTGAGGTATATAGTCGCTTGAAAGTAAGTGGATCATGAAAATCGGAACAGTTTCTTTTTATCATAGCAAATACAGCTAAAGCTTTATTTTTAATCGCTGATACATGAGCATTGAATAATAGCTTGGAATCAAATAAAATCCCTAAATCTTTAAACAATGACGAACGATGTAAGGTAATGTCACATATATGGTAATTAAAATGCAAGGGATTATGCTTTTTGGAGTAAGTAACAATTTGGCATTTGTCAATATTTAATGAAAGGCTATTTGAAATGCACCATTCGTTAAATGAAGCTAAATCACTCTGAAGAAGATTAATATCATTGGGGGAAGTACCTAATTGATTTGTAAATTTTTGCATCGTTGGCAAATAATAAAATGTTGGAGTGTGTAATGGAGGATACAGCATCATTTATAAATAAATTAAATAGGAGAGGGGAAAAGTGATCGCCTTGAGTTACTTCAGAAATTACGTTTATAGGTGTTGATATAAAACTTTTATATTTAACAAATTGGATTCTTTGACTTAGGAAAGAGTTAAACCATGATAGTAGGGGATTGGCAAAGCCGATTTCCTGTAGTTTATTGATTAATAAAACGTGGTTTACTCTATCAAAGGCTTTTTCAAAATCAGTATAAACAACATCTGTTTGTTGATGATTAGAAAATGATTGTATTATATGATGTTTAATAGTTATTAAATTAGTAAGACATGATTTATTATTGCGAAATCCATGTTGTTGTGGTGCTAAAATATTTTTAAATATGGGCGTAAGCTTATAATTTATTATCTTAGAAAGTATTTTTGGGAGAATAGAAATTATTGATATGGGACGGTAGTTTGAGATAAATGATTTGTTACCTTTTTTGAGAATTGGATTAATATATGTGGATTTCCAAGATGATGGAAATGAGCCACTATTTAAACAAAAATTAAAGAGATATGTGATTGGTGGTGAAAGTATAAATCTGCAGTTAAATAAAAATATAGGAGAGAGACCATCAGTTCCAATTGCATTTTTGTAAGAGAGAATATCTAATTCATTGAACACTTCTATGAGTTCTATATGAAGTGAGTTTAACAAATCAATAGATTGAACTATATTAGACTGGGAATTAATATTTGTAGGAGCTGTATCTTTATATACTGAAGTGAAGTATTGACTAAATAAGTCAACAATTTCTTGAACATTGTCAACTGTCTTATGGTTAAATTACATTGTGTTTGGTAAACCAGTTGATTTTTAAATATTATTAATAAAAGACCAAAATTTCTTAGGTTGGGATTTAAAAGATTTTTGAATTTTAATTATGTATTGGGAGTAATCAAATCTACTTAAGGATTTGCATTGAGCACGTGAGGAAGATAATTTTTGGTAATCATCGTGTGAGTTAGATAACTTAAATATTGAATGTTGGTATTTTTTTAATTTGATTAGATTTATTAAGTCTTTAGAAAACCAACAGGGAAATTTAGATTTGCAGTATCTTTTTTTAGGAATAAAAGTGTTAATAGCATAGAATAGGAGCGAATAAAATTCTTCAGTAATGGTTGTAATATCATTACTAATATTGAAAAATTCGGTCCAATTTATTGAACTAAGGAAAGATAAAATATTATTATAATCACCCTTATACCAGTCAAAGGTTTCTTCGGAAAAAGGTAGCGGAGAGGGTGTGTAGAACTAAGAGTAACTGACATTAATAGGAGGGTGATAATTGTCTACAGGAACTATAGCATCCTTATTTAAAGATTTAGAATGAGAATTAGAATTGGATAATATCAGATCCAGTATTGAACCATAACTGTTGAAAATTGTATTTATTTGAAAAAGATTAAAAAATGCTAGGTTTTCTAAAAAAAAAGCTTCAGGAGAGGATAGGTTTAATTTAGCATTTAATGATGCTTTATTTAAATTTGGCAAATTAAAATCACCGAAAAGTAGAAGATCATCATTTAGACGAGAAGAAATTAGGTTATCTAAAATAGAAAAATATTTATTATACAAAGAAGATGGAGAATTTGGCGGAAAATAGATACAACCCACAATTAAATTTTTGGTGTTATTAATTTTTATAGAGACAAAGCATAATTCTAACGATTTAACATCAATATCAATTGGTGAGGAGATACATTTTTTATTAACTGCTATTAAGACCCCTCCTCCTCTGGTCGATAAGCTAGATAATAATGATCTATCACATCTATAAATTTCGTAATTTACGAGACCAAGTTCAAGTGAACTAACATTGTTATGTAACCAAGTTTCGGTAAAAGCTAAAATATTAAAATCTAAGAAATCTATATTGGTTTTTAATAAATTTAATTTAGTATTAAGACCTCTTACATTTTGGTAGTAGCAGTTGAATATATTGTGAATGGAAATTAGTTTTTTGAATTGATAATTGTTGGAGTGCCTTTGATGTATTTAATGATGAGATTCTGTTCTCCATTAGATTGACGGTTGAGAAGTTCTTGGCGAAGGTGTGACATGTATTCTTGTTGCTGTTTGGTACGGTCAGAAGAGAACCGAAGGTCTTTCCATGTAGAGTTTGATTTTAATTTATTTTGATATGAGAATAATTCAAAAATATCTTTTTGATCCGAAAAACGTAATTTTACTGGTCGAGGTTTGGTAGTATTAGAAGAAGAAGGTTTGCCGAGGCGAGTGACAGAATTTGGTTTGGTTTTTAAATCAAGAAAATCAAGTATGTTTTGAATTGTAGTGGAATCCGAGCTTGAGGTGGTTGGGTCATTAAGAGCTTCTGGTAAGTTAAAGAGTAACACATTATTCCGCCGTGATTGTCTGTCGATCATCTCAGTTATTAAATTGTCGTTAATTAAGATTGATGACTTTGTGTTTGACGATTCAATTTTAGATTCAATAGTTTCCACTTTAGTTGTTAAAGAGTCTAGGTGACTTAGGTATTAACTGAAGATTGTAAATGATCAAACATGTGATATGTATCTACCTTACAAATTAAACTTTAACCAAGATCTATACAATGCAATTTCAAAAGTTAATCAGCTAACATGTAAAATTAATATAGGTGAATAAAGTCAACTCAAATAATTAAATTAGTTTATATTATATTGAAAACAAAATATCTAAGCTTGAGCTTTTTAATTATTTATATTTTCACTGTGAATTAACAGTACCTACCTACTAACTATTATTTTTATATTATTATATTCATTCTGATTCTGTTTATATCTTTTGTTTAATAGTTTGTTACAATGTATAATATTAATAACAATGACGAGCTCGACAAATGACAATGATTGACAAAAAAAGTTGGTACTCACCGAAAATGTATACAAGTATACAACACTGTTGAACTGTAAACCAGGCACGTAGCCAGAATATTTCTACTAGGGGGACCAATAATTGTTGGCCCTTTTATCATTTTCCATAATTTTTTCCAATGCGATACTTGAAGGGGGCTTCCCTTTCACACTCATCACTAGACGGTATGCCGTATAAAGAATCTTATTAATTTATAATTTACCTTTGATTGGTAGTTGGTTAAAAAAAAATGTTTTCTCAACAAGTTCTATTACAGACTACAGTATTACAAATATATATATAGTACCTGATTAAAAAAAATAACCAAGTTACCTACATCTTTACTTTTGGGATACATTTGTCATTTGTCATGTTCTGAAAAATAAATCTACATAAGTACATGTTTAGAATATAAACTGATTAAATTGTTAAACTTCTATTCACAAAAATTAATTTATATCTAAACACTTATCAAAAATAATAGAAGTAATAATTGATTTTTATTTTAAAAAACAAGTACACAAACAAGGAGAAAATATTAATAATACAATACCTAGTAGTAATACCGAAGTACTTATAAACATATAAAATAATAAATAGTAAGTAACTGTATAAAACAATTCAATATAAAATTATTTTTCTGTTTTTATGATTTTCTGAAAACAATTGTACAAAAATATCTAAATCTAAGTTTTTAGAAATTTTTTTTTTCTATGCTTATTGAAGCCAAATTATTTAAACGCTCATTTGTCATTCGATTTAATAAAATAAAACGTACAAAGTCCAAACCATGTATAAAACTATAAACGTAAGCATACTGCATACAGTTGGGCATCACTGCTGGACATAGATAACTGCACCCGACTCATATTATGTTCTAACTTAGATAATATAGTTCTATGTTTGTTTATTTTGAAGTATTAGTGGAAATATGGAGTCTTTTAGCTTTTATATACTCTATATCAGTGGCGTATTTAGGGAGGGGCCCATAGGGCCCCCCCCCCTTGGCCCGTGTAGTACATATTATAATAGTATAACACAATACTACTCAGTAATCGACACTCATATTATACTTTAATACTTTATAATGTATGATTAAATAATGATTTGATATGAAAACCAATTTATCGCATTATTTTGCGATACCCAGTAAAGTATAAATAGCAAAAGATAAAATCCATGGCTAAATATATAGGTATGATCGCAACTTTGTGATACGCAGGTGTCATGGCCGCCACTGGCAGTGATTTTTATCACTTCGATTTATCAGTTTACAGTTATCAAAATAATATAAATATTTATTTCATTTTAAAAATGTATTAAAATAAATATCCAACAGTATTCAAACTTCAAACAAATAGTTAAATATACGTCTAAAATTGTATACTGTTTAATAGTTGATCCTGTTGATAGTTTGATTTTAATTAGTAAGACACGATCATAGTTTAAATATTAAAAGTAAATATATTATAAAAATATACGTAAACATCGTTTACACGATCATTTTTTTTTAGCAAATAAATTTTTTGACTTGTCCTTTTTACGTCAAATATTTTATTTGCTATTGCTTTGTTCAGATTGTTTAATCTTATGAAAGTTCTTGTCCGTACCAAACAATTAATCACCTCCACTGGAATTTCGTTATTAATTTCTTTGAGGACTAAATCTGTGACTTTTTTATTATACCTGAAATGTAAGTATTTACAATTTTATATTTTATAAACTCATAGATATTATATTTTATACTATTTTCAAAAATCAACAAATATAATTATAGTGATGTAGTACCTATTAAAAATATTTATTTGATGTTGTGTACATACTATATGTTAAGTTGTTAACCAAACCACATAATAATTACAAATACTTATTATTATTAGTTACCTGGTGATTTATTCAATCCATTATTTCCATGAAATATATTGAAAATTGTTTCAATAACATTTGCTACATAAGTAACATCGCTGGATGGTCTTATTAAATTGACTTTCGTCATTTGCTCGGTCCAACTTGAATTATTTTCGTTGCAATGGTATACTTTCTCTCCCAAGTATGGATACTTGCTTATAAACTTTTTAACTACCGATCCTATAATATATTCAATGCACTCTTTTTCAATTTCAGACATTTCATGAACTTCCATCAACGACTGAAATTTAAATAGATAATATACTACGCCATTGCTCATTAAAATACTCTATAATGTGCTATTTAATAAAATATTACGTGTATATCATAATTGTCTAATAATTCTGAATTTGATTCTTCTGTATCTTCAGTATTTCCTCCGAGGTCAGACATAACAGAAGTTAATGCATCATCAGTTATATCTGCTTGAACATCGGTTGGAAAACATTCTATAACTTCAGCATCGTTAAAAATTATTCCAGATAAGCAATTTACCAAACAGCTTTCATCTGTGTCTTGGGTATTATGGTTATTAGTAAATACCATGTTTGAATGCTTACCCAGTAAGTACCATCGTAAACTATTATTAAATAAAAATTAAATAACATTTCAGACTAATTTGACTTGAATATTAAAGAAATTACTTACCAATATTTAAATTCAATTGGTGTCATGTGAGTATTGGAACCAACCATACCTTTTAAATAACTGTATAGGTTTTCCAATACATCTGAATTTACTCGTCTTGTCATAATATAATAAATATCATTGTAATTATTTTTAATATCTATTAAAAGGTTTCTTAAAGATGCGTTAGTGACTAAAATTCCTGGAGGATAATTAATAGAAGAATTGTATACATTTTATTGATTATTCTATCATTAAAAACCATACCAGTTTGAAAAGGTAATCTTTTTTTACTTCCATGTACTTTAATGTTTTCAATTGTTGAATCCATCTTTTTCAGGAGTTCATTCTGACTGTCTTCATCCATACCATAACTTTTGGTGAATTTATCAATTGGCAACTGAGTGTTCAATAGATCAAACCAATCATTGAACAGCTTGATTAATTCTGAAGCCTAGAACCAGTATAGTAAATCAGTGTGCCGCAATAATGGCAGTATTATGATTTGCACATACTTCTTTCCAGTTGTACATAGTAAGCATATTTTTTTACCACAAGATTTCAGTGCTTCAGCTAAACGATTAGAGAAAACTTGTGTAGCTAATTTCACATTTTGCCTTAATGTTCCTGTTACATTTATGTGTTTTTCTGAAAATCTATATGCCAATTCAAATTCTGATTTTTTTGATATTTTCAGATATTCTTCCAAAACATTTTTTCCAACATATACATTTTCTGGGAAATCAAAACCTTTATCAATAAAATGGTTTCTCGCCAATTTCAATAAATGAGGGACATCTGCGAATACATGGACTCTTTTTCTTGACACAGGATTTATGAACCAAGAAGAGGAAGGAGTGATGTCTAAATTCTTCCATAATCCTATATTAGTTGGCCCCATATCGCTTACTAATGCAACAACCTCAAAACCTGAGTTATGAATTTCAGATATAATATTGTACAGCAGGTCTTTTGTCATTGGACACTGAAAATCATAAAATACTGGTTGTTTCCAGGAACATGTAAGCCCTATAAATTAAAAATATGGTATTAGTTTAAATAGGTAACTTATATTTTATAGTTGAACATATTTTATTCAGCTCAAATATAGTTAATTGTTATATTTGTATAAGCAAGGAAGTATTAGCCATTGGGACTCTGAAAGTCTGAAACTTCTATTAGTATTATAATAACATTTATTGTTGTTCATTATTTTAATTTATTTTTAAAGTAGTTAAGTTATGTAACCAACCTCTAGCCATGACAGTTTGGACACACTTGTATGGTCCTAAAATTTTTTCATTTTTTTTATCATACGATATTTTATGAGAAATATACGTTTCATCAAAAGATAAGACTGTAATTTTGTCATTTCGGCTCATTGATTTTCCTGTTCAGTAAAAAATGTTTTATTGAATAAAAATTACTTATAAATAAAATAAGACTTACCTTTTTCCTTCATCAGGGCTAAAACATCAGTTAACATTCCCTTTTCAACTGAAAATGTAGCTGCCCACTTTCTCAATGTTGATAGACCTTTAAATTAAATCGTAAAATGCAATTTTTTTTTTTAAATCATCCATAAAAATATTTACTTACCTGGCAGGGGATAATTTTTTTTTTCACGCAAATAAGAATAAGCTTTTGAAGATACACTTCTTAAAGATATAGCTGCAGCAATATCTTCATTTGACCACCTAAAAACTTTTTCTTTTGGATTTAAAATTAGATCAATTTGTGTTGGAGAAAACATTTCTGATAACTTTTCTCTAAAATGTATTTCAAACAGATGTTCTTGTCGTTTCTGGTCATTAGCTGTCAACAATTTTCCTTCTTGTATGGCTATAATATTTTTCAACCTTGTGATTTCTTCCTTCAAACTTTTGTTTTCTACCATTTTATCGTTTAACAGATTCTGTAGTCTTTAAAATGTTAACAAAAGATATAATATAAAACATATTTTTAATTTATTTTTATTAGTTTATTGTTTCAATTAAGTTATATCAATAACTACCTATATGTAAAAACTAAACCAAAATAATTGTTAATAAACACTATTAACTTAACAGATCATGCAAAACAAATAATAAATGTTAAAGAATAATAGTATTATTTCAAAAAATACTTCCCTGTTAATCATATTCATAATGTTTAAGGTTCAACTGTCAACTTCTATCTAAATTATTTTGAGTACACATAGTATTTCTAGTATAGAATAACTAACACAAATGCCCATTGATTAAAACATAAAGCATTACACATTATTGAAAAAATTCTACGATTTGAGGTAGTAAATACCTTGAAATTTCTTGTGCATCATCTTTGTTTTTTTTCAAATTCCTAGCATATAATTATTTTTGTTAACAAAATACAATTATTTTCACTTCAATGAGCTCATATTTAACACATTTAAATTCTTACCAACTATCTTCAATACTAGGATGCTGAGCATCAATTGTCGATTTTGAACTCGTAGAAATATTAGAACCATTTATGGTTGTACAATAGTGGTCATTTTGAAAAGACATATTAAATAGATCAACTCTAGACAATTAATTAATAAATGTTTTAGTAGTTTAATAGGTACTCATTATTTTATAATTTTTATACCCAATCGATATTTTTAATACTTACCCACTCCCTTCTAAATTTACTAACTCATTATTAAGTGGTTCCTGATGAATCTGTTCCAACCTGTTAGAGTTATTGAATTATATATTATATTTTTGTTTTTAAAGGTAATAAAGTATAATTATTATTACCCGGCATCAACCAAATTAGTTGTTTCAGTTTCTGTTGTATTTTTCTCAACATAATCAATACAACTTGATGTATTCCATACTTTTAAAGTAGGAAGTGCATCAAACTTTAATTTGCGTTTATGCCTTGGTGAAATACTAAGCATAGTTTCAACCAGTGGCTTTGGAATATAGGCATTTTCATCAAAATGCAATGAACAAATTCTCGCTAATTTAATTTAAAAAATAATTTGGTTTTTAAAATATAATTAATTAATATAAAAATTTGGTTTTGAGGTTAAGATCTATTAATTCCAAACTCTTGAAACTGAACAAACTTTTTTTCCCGCAGAAATTTTGTGTATTGTATATAATGCCCTATACAAAGTTTGTCGACTAGTTAGGTACAACTAATTTTAACTCTTAAAAAATATTCGATTTATCTATCTCACCACAAGCACTGCTTAATGAGGTAGATTACAAATAATAATACATTGCAACAGTGTTAGTTTTAATTTGTAATTTTTTTTATGTATTATGTAAAGTATTCTATTTTTCTTAAATAAAAAAAAATATATACAGACTGTACATTGTGGCTCCACCACATTGTGGTACAATGCCATCATAAATATAGGTATAAAAATGTACCTACACAAGTATTGGATGTAGGTATTAAACTTCTTACCGTTATTTGTATTTATACCATTTCTATTTTTGCCACAAGAATCAATCCATTTATCACAATAATAAGAGGTTTTTGGAAATCTAAAAAACCTTACATCTGAACCTTCATTACCATATAATTTAGCTCTATGTTTTCGTCCACTATTACAGTCTTTTACCGCACACCAAGACATATTAACAATAAAATTAATAATTGAACAAAATTATTTATATCAATGACATAAACTCGCATGAATAATAAATCAGACTACAATGCCAAGATTCCCGGTCATTTTTGTGTATACAAGTAAACTTAAAATTTAAATCATATTAATTCATGCTTTTGAGCGGTAAAATTCTATTAGTACCTACTAACCATTTGTGACACAAGTTATAGTGTGTTTGTTTTTCATATAAAAGGAATTGGATGAGTAAAAATAAATAACACACATCATTTTAGTAATAAAAGTAATTATATTTCAAGAAATCAAGAGTAATACATATTGTACAAACATATAAAACAAAATCAAAACGAACTTTCCAGTTTTAATCAAGTTATAAATCGATAACTATAGCATAATAATAATAATAATAATATGGTATAATATTATTAGACTAATCGTTTATCAACATCAACGAAAGCGGCAAAAGCCGATGATAAAAATCACTGCCAGCTGAGATTTTTTTCCATGCTATATCATGGAATAATAGTACATGCGTAGCTCCTAACGAAAATGCGTCTCAATGAGATCATACCTATATATTTAGCCATGATAAAATCGATAATGGATTACCGTATCTAGATTCTAGAATAGACTGTTTCTCTGGAACCGTTCGATACCGCACACGCGCTGCTCAGTTTCAGTTGCTGTTTAATTTCCGATAAAACACAATATAGTGTGATCCTAGTCTAATCGTGTAGTTGTGAATAACGTATTCTTTTACTTGTCAATGCATTGTTTATAAGTTATAACTTAACTATCTACATGTGTATATATTTTAATATTTGTATAAATTGACAACCGAATTTAAAAACAATATGCAACAAAATAAAAGAACATCGAAGATAACTAATTTTTTTAACTCAACACAAAAAAAAATTAAAACAGAATCTAACGACGTCGTGGATGACGGACAACAGCAGTCACAGTCTGACTCACAGAGACTAATTTCAACGGAAATCAATAAGGTATTATATTATAAAATAAATAAGCAAGACTGTAGGTACATACGCTATACGTAGTGTGACCATAATTATTTTATCCTAAAGGGGGACACTTAAAAAAAGAGGTACATAAAATGTAAATATATAATAATAGCAAATGCATAATAAACATTACATTTAATTTAATTTAAAATTATTTTAATTTACAAACATAATTACAGTTTTAATACTTATCCTTAGATACAATTTTTTTTAGTAAGAAACTATTTTTTTTTAACAAATCATAAAATTCCAAACAAGTGTAATCAAAGTTTAACTTGGTTATTAATAATGCTTTTAATGTAGACACGTTCAACTGGGTTTTTTCCTTGGTCCAAATTTTTGTTATGTGACTGAAAACACGTTCAGTTGATGCATTAGAACCCGGCAGACATAACACATATTCTACTATTATTATCATTTTATCACATTGTATGTCTTTTTCTTTAAAATATTTGAAAATACAAACCCAGCGTTGATCTGTGGGTTTTTTTTCTAAGTTCCATTCATCAATTTTTTCTTGTGTAACATACTGTAATGTAAGCATAAATTGATCAAATAATGCAGTATCATTATTGGGATTGAAAAATCCTTTATTTGAAATGAACTCAGCAACCTTTTCTATTTCAGACCAATTTGGAACTTTTTTAAGGGTAATACATTCCATTATTTCTAGTTCTTCAAAATGATAAGTCCAAGATGTTAAATATTGCTCGGAAGTACTATAAAAATTTTCAATTACAGTTAGAATGTCAGATTCTTGTACTAATCCGTCATGTTCTAGTTGCCTAATAAGTGTTCTTACAGACAATGGAATGAATTTATTTTGTTTTTTATGCATCAAGTTGTTTTTAAGTTGTTTTATCTCATTAAATACTTCAACTGCAAGTATGTTTTGGCCTTCTATGTTCAAAACATGTTGATGGAATGTGGCAGCTTGACTGTGAATAAAGTTTAACCATAGTTCTGCACACGGATTGCTAAAAAATGTTTTTAATATTAGAGGTACTTTATCTTGACTCAAAAAGTAAGATTTTAAAGCAGGAAATAGTTTTAAAATTCTTTCTACTGAAGGCATAAGCGAAAGCCACCTTGTTTTACTATAGCCAAGAATAGCTTTATACTCAATTTCTACAAACATACAAAAATCTTTCAATTCTTCCACTCTAACAGTGTAAATGTAAAAAAAAGAATAGATTTTTACTATTATACATTCTATATCAATAGGAAGACAGTCAGCAGCGGTTTGTATAGCATTGTGGATAATATGGGCAGCACAACCAACTCCAATCAATTGTTTTCCCAGCTTTCCTTGTAATTTATGGAACACATTATTAGTGCCACGTCTTGAAACACCACCAAAATTACAGTTGGTGTTGTCCCCACAAAATGCAGCTACTTTATTTCTAATATTATTATCATCTATTGTTTTTACAATATAATTTATAATAATATCAGAAGTTTCACCAGGCTGAGACTCGACATTTAATATTTTTATCTGAATTCCATATAGGGGGTCAAACAATCTAACAAGCAAAGGAAACAACTTAATATTTCCATGGTTTGAAGCATCAGTTAAAATACTTATGCAATTTGCGTTTTTAAGCTGATTAGTTAGAATATCAATTGCATATGGAGCAAAAACATTGGTTACTATTTGTCCACACTTTGTTCTGGCACAATGAAATTTAGGTTCAAAACAAGCCTGTGTGAGTTTAGAAAAGCAGTCATGCGAACGAAAGCTCTGATTTTCAGAAACTGTATGGTATGCCCAAGCACCTTCTGCAGCTGCTATTTCCAAATCTCTTGAACTTGGTGCGCTACTTTTATAATATGTCGTTAATGGCTTACTTGATGAAACGGCTAAATCTGCTGATTTATGTTTAATTGATTGAATATGTCGTTCAATATCATATCCACCTCCGTGTGAAATATTGAAAGTCCGTTTACATTTTCCACATAGTAGTTCGGAATCAGATCCATTGATTTCTTTTAGGAAACTGTATTTATTTCGAAGTTCAGGCGTGAATCGACACAAACGTTTAGGTTTGCCCATTTTGGTTAAATATGATTTATGAATTTACACGGTCACTTTACTTTTAGTACTTCACGTTAAGGATTATTATTTATTAATAAATTATTATACGAAATACGAATGCCGGTCATCGGAATTCCTGAATGGGAATTATCCATGATAACACCCTGCTCATATCATTGATTATAGAATGACATTTAATATAATATTATTCTGTGCCGCAAAGCAGTGCCGCCAAATTTATAGTAAATAATAATTCTAATCCGTGACACAAGAATATAATATTATTATCAATTCATGATTGCAAGTCTGATACAAGATACAACGTCCTGTAGAGTGTTAGTGTAGAATCATGATAAAATATTTTATTATGTACACTGTCTGTATTTTTTTTATACTATACAGTCTATACATCAATTTTCATAAATGCGGGACAAAAGTGGGATATTTAGATATGCGGGATGCACCTCTGAAAAACGGGACAATCCCCCCTAATGGGGAACGTCTGGTCACACTAGCTATACGTAATGTCGCAATGATACTATTGAGTAGTATTTGAGTAATATGACGTTTAATTTTTCAAATATTAAAAATCTTAATGTCTCAGAGCTTGCGCTAAAGAAATATTAGAGCTGCACATACTGTTTGTTTTACAGAAGTAAAAAAATTTGATCATTATCATATTATAATCATAATATTAATTATGGAATAAATTATGGACATAGCAGTTTTAACAAAAATAAAATAATACAAATGATTGTTTTTATTTTAAAAAGTTTAATAATATGACACCGCACATGTATAGAATTATAATAATTATTAAAACACAGTTTTCATCAAATATAAATTTTAAAACTTATAGAAAACCTTGTATTAAATTTTCAATTCTTAGCTATGAATACTAAAAATGTAGGTTTAATTAGTATTGTAATGTAATACGATTTTGTTTTTATTATTTTAGAAATCAGGACATTTGTATGATATTGCCAATTTTGTGGTCAAACACACTTTACAGTCTTCTGAAATATTTAATTGTTTGAAATTGACTTGGATACCCCCTCCAAAGTATGATTTTCCTATACGTGCAGAAGGCAAACATAATAGAAAATTTCAATATAAGTATTTAGAAATATTTCCATGGTTAGCTTATAGTGAGATTAATAAAGGAGCATATTGCAAATGGTGTGTTGTATTTGCTTTTTCAGGCGGTGGATCAGGCAACCAGGTATATTACACAGAAAAAAAAACTATTTCCCTTGATTATTTATAAATATAATTATTTTATAATTATTTCTTGTAGTCGTTAAAGAATCTAGTAAGAGAGCCTAGTATAAGAATGCAATGGCTGATTTAAATGAACATTCTAAAACCAATTATCATATGATCTCTAGTCAAAGGGCAAAAGACTTCTTAAAAAACTATGAAAATGGAGACCATACAGCGGTAAACGTACTTCTAAGCAATCAAAAAATAGAAATAATTGAACACAATCGTAAGAGACTTATACCTATAATTAAAACTATACTTTTTTGCGCACGTAATAACTTGCCATTACGTGGTCATCGAGAGTCCGGTTCACTTAAATTTGATAATGTACGTGAAGATTGTTTATCGGGTAATCAAGGAATTTTCCGAGCTTTAGCGAAAAGCATGGAATCTGGTGACAGAGATCTTAAGTCTCATTTTGATATTTCTGCTAAAAATTGTACAATGATAAGCTCTACTATTCAGAATGAAATTATCGAATCAATGGGTTCTGTAATTAAACAAAAAATTGTTGATAGAGTAAAACTTTCCAAGTATTTTTCGATTTTGTGTGATGAAACAACCGATATCAGTACAAATGAACAAATGACAATATGTGTACGTTATGTTGACTTAAAAAATTGTGTCATAAGAGAAGATTTTTTATGTTTTGTAAAAATGGTTTCAACTACTGGGTCAGAAATAACAAAAAACATTGAAGCATGAATTAGAAAAAGTTGGTTTAAGTTTTGATAACTTAAGAGGACAGGGTTACGATGGGGGATCAAACATGTCTGGCAAGTATAATGGTGTTCAAGCACTAATTTTAAATGAATATCCTTTGGCTTTTTATACTCATTGCTTCAGTCACTCCCTTAATCTATGTTTATCAAAAGCATGTGAAGTATCAGCTATAAAAAATATGAATGGTATAATTGGAACTATCTGTACATTTTTTTCTTCGTCTTCCAAACGAACCGAGAAATTGAAATATATTATTGAAACGACCTTAGATGTTAACACTGTTAAAAAGAAAAAGCTAAAACAACTGTGCCAAACTCGATGGGTAGAGCGACACGACGCTATATTAACTTTTAAAGAACTATATATTTACATTGTTTCTACGCTAGAAGATCTTGAGCATGATACCAATACAGAAACATCAACGAAAGCCACGTTGTATGGAAGTGCCATAACAAAACCGGATTTTATTATTGCTTTAGAAGTGTCTGCTAAATGTTTTTCTTATACTTTTAATTTGAGCAAACTTTTACAAGGTAAGCAACAAGACGTATGCAATGCTTTGGCTAACGTAGCACAAGTAAAAAATGCCTTACAAAGTATTCGAAATGATGTCGATAACTCTTTCAAAGAAATAATGGAAACTGTTTCAAAATTAGCTTCTATTGTAAATATTGACATTAAAATGCCTCGTATCTGTAATAGAAAGACGAAACGTGTAAATGTTAGTTCTAATAGTCCAGAAGAATATTTTAAAGTATCTATATATATACCATTTCTTGATAGTTTAATATCCCAATTACATTCAAGATTTGATGAAAGGTTAAAACAAGTATTGCCACTTCAAGGCTTAATTCCATGTAACTTGCATTTATATAATGATGATTTAATTTTATCAGCTGCATCTACATATGAAAATGATCTTCCTCACGCAATATCCAGTTTAAGTGCTGAACTACACATGTGGAGAAATCAATGGAAGGACACAGTAAACGTACCACAAACTGCAATTGAAGCAATACAGCACTGCCAAGATCTTTTTCCGAACATTAAAACACTTTTACAGTTATTCTCCACACTACCAGTTACTTCTGCCACTCCAGAACGCACGTTTTCTACTCTTAAAAGAATAAAAACTTACCTGAGATCAACAATATCCCAAGAAAGGCTAAATGGCTTGGCTTTAACAAACATTAATAAGGAAGAAAATGTAACTGTGGAGGAAATAGCACAAGATTTCATAAAAATCTCCGCCAGGAGAATGCAACTACAAGACTGGTCAAAATAATAGATACATTACTTAAATTGTACATGCTTTAATATAAGTACTTTAATTGTCTTAATCTTAATTAAATATAAAATATAATATACTAAAACGTATGATTTTGGCGTTATATCTGGTGGGCCCCTCCCTTGAGAGATTTCTGGCTACGCCACTGCTCTATATATAAACATGATGCATATTATCTATTATAATATAATATATTGTTCTGGGAAAATAAACAACAATAATCAGAAACAACGATTATCGATATCTAAATATAATGAAAACTAAAACCATTACGTCCACGTCGTCAACGGCGTTGAAAGTGTTCATCAAATTAAATTATTTAATAACGACGCCGGGTATGCTGCTATCTATATAATATTATCTATTATTGTCTATGAAACTGGTATGTCTATCAATATCTAATTATTTTTTTTTTTCAGAAACGTTATCCACGAATATAAAAATGAATTATTATAATAATAATTGTATTACGTATAGTAATATCACACTATACCACTATATCATATATAGTAGTTGTATAAGTATAATCAATATATATTTATTTCAATGTGCACAATCACATTTTTGATAATTGGTAAAATAATTATATTTTGAATTTCAGGGGGGGCCGGCCCTGGGCCAGAGTAAATTTAAGGTGGGCCCGGCCCACCCAGGCCCCCCCTGGCTACGTGGCTGCTGTAAACTGATCCTAAATCCTCTCAGGAGCGCGATCTTAATAAAGCAGTAGGTATCGTAAATCACAAACAAAGTTTAAAAAAAACACGGATCAATGATGATGAACAAAATGGCAAGTAAACGGTCCTTACGAATTAAATAATTGCATTGTAAACCGTATTTAGACGAGTAGAACGAGTGTACGGAAAATAGCACTAAAGTTGTACAAGACGCCGCAGGTCCGCAATGTGGTGTGGCGTGCGACGGTTGCGGGCCAACGATGGTTGTTATTGCATTATAATGTGGCATATGCGGGATTTCAATAAAACTATATTTTAAACCGCGAAAGAAGACGAAAATGATAATTTCGCGTCTCTGTCTTACACGTCGTATGCCGAAATGGTTCTAATTGTGGGTGGGGCAGTGGGTTCTGACGAATTTTAATTGTAGTTTATTGGTCAAGTATTAAAAACAAAGTAATGAAACAAATTGTATTTTATTCAACATAAAGATTATTTTTAATTGTTGTAAACAAAAATCTTAATTTTTAAAAATTACATTACTTAAGTGGCAGCCTCCATTTTGTATACAGTCGGTTATCCGTTTTTTCATACGGTCCATAACTCTCTGAAGGGTATGCACATCGATGGCTGTAATTTCCCGTCTAATGTTTTCTTTTAACTCTAGTAGTGTATGTGGGTTATTAGTGAATACTTTAGATTTCAAATAACCCCTTAAAAAGAAATCAGGGGGAGTCAAATCAGGAGAACGTGATGGCCACGCAATATCACCATTCCGCGAAATCACACGATTCGGAAACATTTGTCTAACTGTCTAAGAACAGCCAATGAAATATTCGCTGTATGGCTGGAAGCACCATCTTGTTGGTACCATAGATCTTTATCATGTACTTCTATTCAGTTGGCAAGAAGTTGTTCAACATTTCCACATAACGTTCAGATGTTACGGTCACAGTCACATTGTTTTCCTCGAAAAAGTACGGACCCAAAATGCCAAACGATGCAATGCCATACCATACAGTTACTTTTGCAGAATGCAAAGGAGTGTTTATGTAACAAACTAGGTTGTTCTGAAGCCCAAAACCGATAGTTTTGCTAGTTTACCACACCACATAAATGAAAATGTGGTTCACCTGACATTATCAAATTAGACATCAATTCATGATTTTCATGTAACAATTGCTGAAACCTGTTACAAAATTCAATTCTCGTACCAAAATCATTCGGAAGGAGGTGTTGCACTATCTGTACTTTATATGGAAAAAGTTGTAAATCATTATGTAAAATTATTTGAACAGTTCTGGTGGACTAGTTCAACGACTGAGAATGGCGTCTTTAGACTTTGATCGATTGCTTGACGTACTCGTTCAATGTTTTCTGGTGTTCTTACACTTTTTTGGCTGCCTTTATAAGTTGTTAAAACAGAACCAGTATTTTAAATTTATGATACCAGTCTAAGATTGAATTCCGTGAAGGAATATTACCTCCAACAGGAATATTGAATTAAAAATATCGAAAATTTCGTTGTACAGTTATAATAAATTTACACTCAATAAACGTCGTATCGGCAAAAACAAGCTGATTCACAGGTCATGTGTCCATGATTACTGATAAAGTAAAACTAAACATCATAAACTTTAATCTGGCGACAAACTAGTTTATCTTATCTACTTTAGTACCTAACCGCAGTACTCTATAAATCATCAGAACCCACTGCCCCACTTGCCACAGATCATTGTTTTCATTAACTTGCCCACCATTGGTAATAAGTACTGACGTGTGTCCAATATAATATTGTTGTGATCTACTGATAATATGCATATCGTCTCTATTAGACGTAATCGATCTCCGATTACGTCTAATCTAATGAAAATTATCAATGTATTGTTACATATTGTTAATATTGAACAGCAATGTCGAGAATCGTGATATTTACATTTAGTCCGATATAAATCGCGTGTGCGTTCATGTTATTTTCACATTTCAAAATTTTATAAAAGTATAAGTAATGCTAGAGTATAAGTAATGGAGAATAATACAAATATTGGTGAAATTATTAAAAGTACCAGAGGCAAAAATTTATTATTATTTACAAATTTAACGTATCGAAAAGTTCATGAATCAAAAAATTCTTCAGTACGATGTCGTTGTACTTTCAGAACTTGCACTGCAAAGTGTATACTTCTATAGAAAATATTGTAGAAATATCTGATTTTGAAGAAGCAATTCATATAGCATTGAGACAAGTCTGGGATGACACTAAAATATTTGGTTGTAGATTTCACCCAACTCAATCGTGGTACGTATATCAAAATAATAAAACTGAAGAAAGCAAGTGGCAAAACCATACATTTGGGTTGCCATTTATTTCTCCAAATGAGGTCAGTAACTGTTTTATTGAAGATTTTATGTCATCAATTCCTAATGACATAAGATTTCAAAAATATGCCGATTATTTAGTTGACACATATATCTGTGAAGAGGCTAAATTTCCACCAATAATTTTGGGTGTGGATATCGCGTCACTATCTCTCACCACTAACGCTTGCGAATCATATCATTCAAGTTTCAATTCCGAGTTCTATCTCTCACATCCTACTATTTACCACTTTTTGGACGTACCAAAAGGATTTCAAACCAAAACTTTGATTAAAATTAAAAGTATACATCTTAAAAAACGAAATTCTACTAAAAATAAAATTCGTTTGGAAACTTTTCAACAAATATATAAAAACTACAGACAAAATAAAATTGACAGAAAAAGCTTAGTTTCGTCATTAAGCTATAAATATAAAAAAAAAGTGAGTAAGCTAGGTATTATAAGTAGCTGGGTATTTTATTTCAAAAATTATGTGTTATATAAAATTATAAAATTTACTTATTTAATATATATGGAGTTCGTTTTACTTGTATACATTCATTTATAATTATAATATGACTGATTTTTATATGTTTTATTACTAAACGAAAATTTACGAATATTGTAATTTTCTGCGGTAAGTGCAACTCTGCCACCCTGGTAAGCATTGTTCAATAATTCGATTTGATGCAAGCTTGTACCTGATTTGCCCGAATAACCAATGGCAACCAATAAATAAATGCTAATTTCTAATGTAGACTGTAACCAATGGCAACTATAAATAAATAAAAATAAAATTTCCAATTTCTATCGTGAATCTCAATGTCCCTGTTTCAGCACCTATTTAAAATGCGAATTTTGGCAAATCCTTTCTTAGCGCACGTCTATATTATAATAGCTATCTGTATGCCAAATTTCAGCCAGATCCGTCCAATGGTTTGAGCTGTGCGTTGATAGCAGTCAATCAGCTTACTGTTTTTTATATACAGATATGGTTGCCATGGTAATATGGACCCACACACACACACACACACACACACTGACATACATTCATTTTTATATATATAGATTGATATGAAATCTTGGTAACCTTAGTAACCATGGCAACCTTGGTAACCATGGTAACATGGACACACAGACACACACACTGACATACATTCATTTTTATATATATATAAATCAATTTCTGCAGTAGAACTATAATTATTCATTGATATCAAAGATCTAGTTATTTTTGATTCTTCTTGGATACGATACTCAATACTCCTTTTAAGTGACTCTAAATCTGATTTTAAGTCTGGTAAAACATAATCTGAAATAAATAGTATACATAAATAGTTTTATTTATAGACACTGAATGTAATTAGATTTTAATGTAGTATAATTATTTGAACCTGAGCGACCAAAGACAAGTTGGACAGTACTCTTTATTCTGTTCAATTTTAACTGTAACAGAACATATTTTAATATTATTGGATTAAAGTGTTCAACAAATTAAAATGTAAAGAGAAGAAAAATAAATTTAATATATTTTCTATGACAAACAGAATACACTTAAAATTTATAATAAACAAAAAACAATCCATACAATTTACACTGATAATTCTTTGAAACCAAAATTATCTCCAGTGTTTATAAGGAAAAAAATTAAACAAGAAAAAAAGTCCAGTTTGGTAAGAAACTATATCTTGAAATCTTATAAGAATTAGATATGTTGAAAGTGAAGCTTGACGGACTAATGATATTAGCATTAATATAATAAGTAATAACACGACAATATGATTATGTACCTATAAGTATAATAACGTACAACTGGACAATTAAACCGTGACAGTATACACACATCGTATACGCTCTGTACGACGACGCCTGTGCAAATGAGTATTACATACACCAAAGGCCCTATATATATGCACGACCGAGGTCATGTTACATCCGTAAAGAGAGTGAGTCTTATGCTCGTATATAACTAGTTACTAAATTGTACACACGTGTCAAGGCTGACTACATATACTACATATTAATTGCATATTTCAACAAGGTAAAAAAATATGAAGAGTTTTTTTCTTTTACAGTTGTAATATTTAGTGTCTTACCTGATTATTATCTTTTAAGGATTTTTTTTTCCTATTGACATTTTGTCATGGTAGAAACAGTGGATCACGGATCTTGTAATAAAATTATAATTACAAATGTATAGCATAACTAAAGAAACTATCATTATACTACCATTTCTCTTACAATTATAGGACTTACCTAGGTTATCACAAGAGCAGCTCCTTCTTTTCAAAGATTTCTTCCCTGTCGACATTTTTTGCTTGGTAGAAGTAGTGGACGGTTCAGATGACAACAGGTCTATATTTGTAATAAAATTATAATAAAAATTAAAATTAAAAATGTATAGCATAACTAAAGAAACTACCATCTACTACCCTTTATCTTAACAATTATAGGACTTACCTAGTTAATCACTAGAAAGGTTCTTTCTTTTTAACAATTTTTTTACGGTCGACATATTTTTCTTGGTAGAAGGTAGTCGACGAATCAGATGACGACATATCTGTATTTATAACAAAATTATAATAACAAATGTATAGAATAACTAAAGAAACTACCATATACGACCCTTTCTCTTACAAATTATTGAACTTACCTTTATCAAAAGAATGGTCTCTTCTTTGCGAGTTTTTCCCAATCGACATTTTTTTTTTTCGAAACAGAGGACAAGTCAGATGATGTTGTATTATCTGACAGTAACAAATCTTTATTTGTAACAAATATAAAGAAAAAATATTGAAAATTGATTTAATATAATTTTAATAATTAATAACTCAATTGAAGAAATTACCATCTAAGACTATATTATCGGGTTGTTTTTTAAAGTTGCTTGACTAAAAGAAGGAATATCTTTTAAATGAATATTTAGTTCATCCCCAGATAGAATTTTTGGATCGGACTCACATTCAGAACTGCCTTTATCCTCAACTTCACTACTTAGTACAACTGTATTAGAGAAGGCTTTTTTTATTCGCCTGACACCTTGGTCATAATCTCCTGAAATGTAAAACAAGATTAGGTGGAGAACTAAAAAAGAAACATTTGTAGAAGTGAAAAAATATAATGCCTAAAGTTTTAAATTTTGTATTAATTGAATTTATTTAGCTTTGAAAGAATAACATTTAATAAATATCATCTACTTATAACATTTTGACCATTTGTACCATTTAAACTTTAAATTTTAAAGTAATTTATAATTAAGTATTTAAACATATTTAAATTACAGATTAACAGGTATATAATTAAGTATATATAACCAGAATTCGCTAAAAAATAAATAAGTTTTGCATTTTATTTTAATTATTTATTCTTTCTTACAATAGGTACATGGTATTAAATAAAAACGTATAATTGATTATATTTAACTACTTGTATAAACTTAGTTAAAAATTGTGTATTATAGATTTTAAGTGAATAAGTTATTCAGGATCTTCCTAGCTTCTGAAATTATACTGATGCCAAAGCCTTTCCACGATTCTTTATGATCAGACAAAGTTTGGCTCATTTTATTAATTTTTGCATAATCTTTTTTCTCTGGATATTTACAATTTAATATTCCGATGAGGAGTTATGGTGATAAGGATGTGTGATAAGGCTAGGACCACTGCGGTTCGACGTGGTAGCTCGGGCAGGCCATCCGTCGCGTAGCGGACAAAGTCTTTGACAGAGTCTTTTCGACAACGCCGCCGGAAATTCGAAATTCAGTAAAAAAATAATATAGTGTTATATTTTTGTGGGTGTCTAGCAGGTCAGTCACCTTGAATGACGTTGGCCGTAGTAATACGGGTACCTAGGCTATCCGACTTCGTCGGATAGCGGACAATGTGTGACGGCCGCGGGTCACGTAATCAGGTATGCGATCCGACTGCGTCGAATCGCGGACAGCGTTCATTACTGTCACCTAAAACGCAAAATTAAGTAAAAATCTGGTCTGGTCGTCGGTCTCGAGCCGGTCGGTGTGTGATGAGGTTAGGACCACCGCGGTTCGACGTGGTAGCCCATGTAAGCAACAACGTTCACAGACAGCGTTCTCAAATGCAGCCAGAAATTCCAAATCCGGTAAAGAGATCATATAGCTGCCACGATTTTTTTCGTCCGCTTTAGTAATACGGGTAGGATATCCGACGATGTGCGACGGTCGAGTTTTTTAGCCGCCTTTTTTTTTCGATGTCTAGCAGGTCAGTCGCCTTCCTAGACGTTGGACGTAGTCACCACCAGTCATACAACGTGGTGGTGGATCAACCCGGTGTTCGATGAGTGTGAGGCCGCCGCGGAGTCTGACCGAAAGGTCCGGGAGAAGAACTCCGGCTCCCGCGGCGCCCTTACCAATCCCGACATCGACCCCGATGTCGTCACCCGTAAGTAATATTTTTAAACCTAATAGCGCTAAATAAATATAAAATTGTAGGATATGAATGAAAGTGGACCAGCCCACATGTGGTATTGGATAGACCACAGTAAGTTGTGAATTTGAGAATATCTTTTAATGCCATGTCGGCTCGAGACCGCACCACAAGACCACTGCAGCTTCCGAAATCGACAACACTCAGGGCCCACTCATGGTGGTCCGTGGGTGTCGCCCAGCGACGCTCGGAGAGCTAGTCTAATACTATAAAATGAAGAACAGCTGTCTATAGTGTACCAATGGAATGGAAAACGCCGGCTATAGTGAACTAGTGGCGTAAAAAATAAAGCACCGATCCGTTTCCCCAGCCAGCTGGCCAGATCCCGTCGATTCTTAATAGCGCGACCAATTGCGTACCTTCGCAGCGGCGGCGGTCGGTTTTAAAACGCCGCGGCCGCGTTATCACCTCTTTTCTTATCATTTCGTCGATTTTTGAAATTTTCAGAAAATTAGCAGGATAGCAATATATATACACTACAGGTAAATGTTTATATGTATTGTATTGGTTAGTGTTAATATATTATGTATGTATATGTTATTTTTTTTAGTAACTACAATTGCACATTTCTCAAAATGTTCATTATTATATATTATCATACAATAAATACACACATATTTTATTTGTTTGTATGTATATTGTATATAGTTTGTATTTTTCGTAAATTATTCCATATGTTGTGTGATAGGGTTTTCACTGGTGGATTGCCTACTTGATTTGCTATAGCACATTGTCCTGGATTCGACGAAGTCGGATTGCCTACCTAGGTGGCTAACTTGAAAGTTAATCGATTTTGACTTGAGATGACTGACTTGCTAGACACTCCAACACGGTTTTCGACTTAACACTTTTTACATACGAAAAAGCACCGGACATGCGACGGCACATACCACTCTATCCGCCGCAGGCGTATTGCTTATTTTGGTTTCGTCTTGACTGGTGATGATTGACTTGCTACACACTCTAACATGCAGGTTTTCGAATTTAAATTTTTGTTACGTATACAAAAAAGCACCGGACATACCCTAGGGGATAGTATCATTGAATTGCCAACTTTCATGGGCCATGGGAGATTTCTAGACACTGAAACTCGACTTACAAACTTTCCCGCCTTCGAAACGAGACCGCCAAAACAGGCCTTATCATTTTTGAGACCGACGATAATAAGCTTATGGGCCTGTAGTTATTAGGGTCAGTATTATCTTTGCCAGGTTTTTTAATCATTATTATTTTAGCTTTTTTCCAGGCAGTAGGTAAAGTAACTCAATTTTAACAGGGCATTAAATAGAACTGTCATAAAAACTACCGCTTTGTTTGGTAGTTTTTTTAGTATATAATTGGTGATCAGGTCTTGTCCGGGTGATTTACGGTTGGGTAGTTTTTTAATTATTTCTGATAATTCTGATGGGTTTATATATGGGAAAATATTTTGTAGAAGAATTTCTGCTTCTCTTAATTTTTGGGACACCAAATTGTTGGTTCTAACGTCGTTTAGCGAATTAAGTGTGAATGTGTTTGCTAAGGTGGTAGCAAACAGATTGCATTTTTCGTTAACAGTATTTATATAAATACTTCCAGACTTTAAAGGGGGAATCTTGTTGTTATTGGGTTTAATTAACCTCTTGGTTGCTAACCAGAGATTAGAGTCTGCATGATGTATTGAGGATAAGTATTTTTGGTATATGAATCTATTCTAAGTTCTGCCAGTAGTGTTTTAACTTTTATGGTCAGAAAATTTAAATTTTTGCGGTCTTCTGGTCTTCTGAAGAGTTGACATTGTTTAATTATGTGATGTTTGTTTTTAATTAATTTTAGAATTGATGGAGTAATTTTGGAATTATTATTATTATTAAACGAGCGGTTTGGGGCTGCTGTGCATTGTTCTGCGGCTTTGAAAATTGTTTCCTGAAGGTGCGATATTGCTTCATCGGCTGTTAAAATATTGGAAATGGTTCTGGGGATTATGATATTGTCTGACATATATTTCTTAAGTTTAACCCAGTCTGGTTTTTAGTTTAAAAGTTTACGCGTTGACTCTGTGTGTGATAGTGATGCGCCTAAAGATATTTTCACTGGTAAATGATCCGAATCTAATTCGAATAAGGGTTCTTGATTAATTATTTATGAAATTGATTTAAGCAAAACAATGTCTAAATTATCTAGGCTTTTATTTGGGTCATAGGGGTAGTAGGTAGGACTGTCTGGTACGGAGATGATCGTAGATGAATTTGATATATACTTGTATAGTTTCCTACTACTTGGATTTGTTGTAACTTGTATTACAATTCTAGATTACGTGTTTTGAATTTAGGTCACCTATAATAATAATCATACTATAGTTGGTTAAAATGTTATCGAAGTCGTTTGTGTACATATTAAAAGAAGGAGATTGGTAAGCGCTTACTATTGTTGTGTTTATATTATTAATTGATAGTGTTATTGCTACGGCTTCCAATGTTTGCAGCGTAGGTATATAAGCCTGTTGGTGTGTTATTTTGGTGCGTATTAATATCGCGACACCACCTGAAGGTCGGGCTGCTAGGCAGAACACAGGAACGTAGAGTACATTATTTGCACCACCACCAGTCGAGTTAGAATCGCGAAGTAGAGACTATATCCACCAGCAGTCATTTCTAACCTAACCTACATATTAAAGTGCATAATAATCTACCTAATAGACAAATCATAATAAATCAATATTGTTTCAACTCGTACTCCGCTACTCCTGTGATCTTCAATAAATTACCCTCAACAACAGGGTTACTCAGGTTTAGTGTATTGTATAATAATATAACTATTTTAGAGCCGCTTTCGTAAGAATGGCGTTTATCTTTTTTGAAAACGCCGATTATCTATTTAAACGAATTAATTAATTTAAACGGATTTCACCAAGATCGTTTAACGCTAAACGTCAGTTATAATATAACCGGCCAATTTCAGTCAGTTTTAGTGATAAACCCGGTTTATAGACGTTATTATTTTGTAGGTACGTACCTACCTACCGTTTTGCTACTGTTTTTTTTCTAACTTTTTGTACTTCATCGTTTTAACTATGTTGCGCGCTCATAAGCGTGCCTTTGCACTTGTTCTCAAAGAAGAGTATGACGACTTTGATGATATTTTCGTGAATCGCCATCCTAGGTTTATCTAGGAAAGGACGAACGATTTTGAAAACCTAGATGAACTAGATTTCGTGACACGATATCGGCTGTCAAAGAGGTCTGTTCTTCACGTATTGGATCGAATAGAAGATCAGCTAGAATACAGTAGTAACAGGTAAGTCAGTTTTTTGAAAGCTTAAGTATGGCAATGACAAGATGTATAAGCTAATTGTTAAACCTATACTGTTAGATATTATTGTATAATTTACTTGATATTAGTACCTATATAGATAGCAACTTATAGATATTGTATTTCCTACTTTGTACAGAAATAACGGCGTGTCTCCAATCAACCAACTCCTATGTACCCTCAGGTTTTATGCAACTGGGTGCTTTTCAAGGAACGGCAGGAGACCTATGTGGTGTCAGAGCTGCGACAGTAAATAGGATTGTGCATAAAGTCAGTCGGGCCATAGTTTCATTGTGGCGGGATTATATTTTATTCCCTGAGACAGATGAAGAAATTAAGAAGACTCAAATGATGTTCTATCAGAAAGCTAAATTTTCAAGAGTCATCGGTGCTGTAGACTGCACCCACATTAAATTCTGGCAATCCCCAGATATGTACCCAAAATTGCTTATAAGACAGGTAGGTACCTAGTTATTTTGTACAAACAAATAAATTGAATACAAAATTAAGATACCAGTTGGGTTCAGATAACTTTTGGCTTTGGCACCATTGATTTACTTAAAAAAATAACCCATATTTTCATTATGGTTTCAGGTGGTGAAGTACCAGAATCTTACAGAAACAGAGAAGGCTACTTTTCTCTCAATGTGCAAGTTATCTGCAATTCAAAATTTAGAAATCACGGACATTGTAGCCAGATATCCTGGATGTACTCACGACGCCCGAATATGGAGGCAATGCCAATGTAGGGCCAGGTTTGAGAGAGGAGATTAAGGGGACGCTGTGCTGGTAGGGGACAGTGGGTACGGTTGCCGAAGATACATGATGACCCCTCTTGATCAGTGTCATACTGAAGCTGAACATCTTTACAACGAGTCGCAAATCCCAACAAGAAACCCTGTAGAAAGAACTTTGGGGTTTGGAAGCGACGTTTTCCTGCATTAGCCCTTAGACTACGAGTTATGCTGAATAACATATTGCCGATAAATACAGCAACTGCTGTTTTACATAACATAGCAAGAAAAGCTGGGGAAGATATTCCTATCAACTCTGAAGTTAATCTACCCGCTCCTTGGGAGGAGATCCTCGTTCAGGATGATATTACTGTACCCCTCCAAAGAGATCTACCTCATTGAAGGATCAAGAAAGACAACAGAAAACGTCAAACATTGGTGGATGTATATTTTGAAAGAATGGTTAGGTTATAAATTCTATTTACAGTACAACTGTGATGATACCTATCTAATTTGTCATGATATTAGGTATCATTTATTTTCTTATATTAGACAAAGCAATAGTACAATAATAAAAAAAAAAAAAGGTAAAAGTTAGAACATAATATTACCATGCTAGATAAATCTCCTACATCTTGGTCCTCAATGATGTTATCTTAACATTAGAAGTTATTGATGTTAGATTGCATTATACATATTACATTATTACATATTACATAAATATTTTTTTAGAACTTAATGGTGAAGTCTATTCTTACCAAAAAGTTTTATAGTATTAGTTATAAAAGTCTAAAATCATTCATTCTAGAGCTGACTATTAGGTACTAATTCTGTACTGATCAGATAGTCTTTGTATTAAGTTGCTAACCCATATGCTTTAAAATTTAAATAGATTGTACTAACAAATGTTCAAATCATTCAACAATAAAATTTAGTTAAATATTAATATATATAATAATAGTAATAATAATAATAGTATTAATAATACTATATATATTAATATATTTATATTTATATTAAATATTAATGCAGTACATACTTGGTGTTGTAATTTCTAGATGGTCACCATCAAACTCGTTTGATAATGAATCCACTTGAAGACGAATAAGGGTTATGACTCTTGAGATGATTGGGTATTGTAAAATTCTATTAGCTTTACCGCCACCTTTATACAATACATATTGTACAAGAACTTATATAAACTTAGAATACAATTATTTTCCACATTGTTACCTGTTGCATATAAGTTGTCGTACTGCAGAGCAATTACTATTTTGGGCCTTTTTCTTCATATTCTCCCACAGTTGTCCTCAAGACCAGCCAATCATGGAAATGAACAGAAGATGTGGCCAATAATTGGTTCGGCTGCTGACGGCATCTGTTTTTTTGTTTTCAACTACCGTTTTGTTCAACCAGATCTACTAATAGTTCCTTCTCCGCGGCTTGGTAAAGAGGTTCTCTTCTTTTGCGTTTGTTTATTGTTTCCATTTTCCAAGTCACGAAATGCATAAAATGAAAACCACACCACGGTTCACAAGACACAAGTACACAAGGAAAACTTCGTAATAAATTTCGAATTTCAATTATTTATTAACTGCCGAATTACATTATCACCTTATCAGTACTGATTACTGACCATATGATCGCTGTGATTGTAGTTTATCACCTAATCTTCGATTATCAAAAACGCTATTACCTTGGTGAAACCCAAATATTTTAAAACTGAGATTAAACTTTCGATTATGATAAACTAAGTTTCCCGTAAACGGAGTTCATTGGTTTTTGGTGAAAGCGGTCCTTATACATTTAATAAATTATTGTATACGTTGCTAAGTCATGTTCGGTTGTGTTAGTTTATGAACGCAGGTCATAAACTTCTAGGACCTATAAAATATAACTTGGAAAACTTTATTTTTATCAGTCCAACAACCAGGTTCAAAGACCGTTTCGTGTAGAAGGAATAGCCAACCATCTACTCATTAATTAGGTATAAATATCAACAGCCACTTGGTACCTATAATTATTATGATGACAATTGGGAACAAGTGCACTTTACCACCCCATGCAAATGTTTTGATTTTTTTTTTTGAACTTATGTAGCTCATCGAGTTAAGAACGATGGTGCAATCAGAATTTGTCGCTCTCACTTAGTTTTGAAGTTATGGCCTTTCAAAGTTTTCAATTTTAAGTCTATAAGCATGCGCGCAACACTACTCTATAATGCCGCGCGGAGGACTATTTTTGTTATTTTTTTGTACTTACGTATTCTAACCTGTTTAAAACGATAGTGCAATAATAATTTATCCCCCGATTTGCTATGAAACACCTCCCCAAGTGGGTCACAGGGTTAAGAAAATTGCATTTTTGGTTCACCGAGGCACCGAGAGGGGCCATTCGCTTGCTCGGATAATTAAAAACGAAAATATCCCCCGATTTGCTATGCAACACCTCCCCAAGTGGGTCACAGGTTTAAGAAAATTGCATTTTTGCTGTACCGAGTCACTGAGTGAGGTCACTCGATCGCTGCGCTCGCTCGGACAATTAAAAATATTCTTCTCCTGGAAGTAGAAATAGTCAATCTGGTTTAAATAAATTCTCGCATTATACCTATAGTAGGTTATAAATAATCATTCAATTATAAATACGATTTTAGATTATATTATATTATTAAAGAAACTATATTTTAATACACAATTAAAATGTCATTACGTCAAGTGCTGCGTTCTAGTGAAGTTGACCTCTCTTAGCCCCGTGTTTGTTCACTCGTTTATTTTTTATTTAGGGGATAATAAGGGCAAAATGGGGCCATGGGGCAAAATGGGGACATGGTTAAATTTTAAGGAAATAATGAAAATGTCAGTTTTTAAAACAGCTGTTTAGAATGGTTCCCCGATCGAGAAAACGTGGTTAAAGTTTAATTATTTAATTTGCATTATTATCATAGACCTTATACTTATAGACGGAACATCCTTATCCTACCCAATGTGCTGGTACGGTCATGAGAAGTTGAGATGCAGTGTTGCCCATTCTTCGAAATAAAATTATTTTTTTAAATGTCCAAACAATAACTATTGTGATAATATTGGCACGCGAAAAACAACTATTGAGGACTGTGACTGCCTTAAAATTAAAAATCCACTACCTATATACTATTATAGTATTATTCTATGAACTGCCTACAACTCAGGCTAGTGCCTACTGAGTATCGAACACTGGACCTTTGTAGTCGAGGCCTTGTTTGTAAAATAAAAATAAAAAATAATATTGTATAGTACTATAGTATAATTAAATTTTAAATGTTTATAAAACTGTTTCTCAATAGGTAATTCCGTAAATTCCTAAAAGACTCGAAAAGATTTCTTAATCGTTTTTTAAAATATAAAAATCAAACGACAAAAAGTTCAAAAAATAAAACAACAGCCAACAGGTGGAATGATAACAACAATCGTACAATATTTGTACAATATATTGATATGGATTTTTATCGTGCGTCGCTAGTGCGCATGTGCGATGTGCTTCGGTGCTTCGTGGGACGCAGCTTATCGTCAACATGAGTAACTACTACATGTTCCGTCTATAAGTATAAGGTCTATGATTATTATACGAGTTATTGATAAAAACATGAAAAATTTGATACCGTGATAACAGTGATATAAAAACAATATTTTTTATTTTGAATTTTTTTTTGGATTGAAGTTGAATCTTTTTTCACTTTAATAATTATTTAAATAGTTTACACACATAAAAATAGTATTTTTATAAAAATTTTACTTTATGGTCATCAGAACGTCTGCCAAAATAATCGAAAAAGTAAGTATGTTGTAGGGGCAAAATGAGGTTTACGTGTTTGGGGCAAAATGGGGACGTCCCCATTTTGCCCCAAGTATCAATAAATATATTTTACGCTTACCTATTTATGTTTATGACTATGATTTTTTCAATCGTAGATTATTCTATACAATGGTTAGAAATTATACTAGAAAAACTGATCGTCAATCTTGGGATGAGGAGTCCATGGATAAGGCGATTATGGCATGTTATAATAAAGATAAGGGATTTAGAAAAGCGGCAGTTGCTTTTAATGTGCCACAATCTACCTTGGAAAGAAGACTGAAAAAGTACAAAGATACTGGAGTCTTAGGAAAAAAAGGTTAGCAAATATCTATTATGATAAATAAGAAGATATAGTTTAATATAGTTTTGCTATTATAATTTTAAACAAATATCAAAATTTAGATGTTAATTTACTAATACAAATATAAAAAGTAATTTATGGACAGATCAATTCTGATATTTTTGATAATGTAATACTTAAATAATACTTTTAATATTCTAGGATTAGGTGCTTTTAAAACCGTTTTCAACGAAGAACAAGTAAATCAACTTGTAACCTATATTAAAACAATGGAAGCTCGTTTGTTTGGTCTCACTACAAAAGAAATTCGACTTTTGGCATATCAGCTTGCAGAAAAAAATCAAATAAACCATCCTTTTGTCAAGGAAAATGATCAAGCTGGTTTAGATTGGATGTACAGTTTTATGAAAAGACATCCCAATTTGTCAATTCGTAAACCTGAAGCTACATCAGCTGCTCGAGCTTCAGGTTTCAATCCTACAGTAGTGGGTAAGTTTTATACATTACTATCTGGTATAATAGATACTTATAAGCTTCAAGCTTCGCAAATATACAATGTCGATGAAACCGGTATTACTTGTGTACCAAAAACACAAAGTAAAATTGTTGTTTGCCGTGGACGTCGACAAGTAGGAGCTTTAACTTCTGCAGAAAGAGGACAAACTGTAACTGTGGAAATATGTGTGTGTGCTGATGGTTCGTTTATGCCCCCTATGTTAATATTTCCCCGTGTAAGATCAAAACCAGAATTAATTGATGGAGCTCCACCTGGTTCATGGGCAGAAGTTCACCCAAGCGGATGGATCCAGAGTGATATATTTTTAAAATGGTTTGAAAAGTTTATTGTGTTTTCTAGAGCTTCTAAGACTAACAGAGTATTGCTTTTGCTTGATGGGCATACTACCCACACAAAAAACATTGCACTTATAGATAAAGCACGTGATGCTGGTGTTATTTTACTTTGCTTCCCTCCACACTACACACATAAACTTCAGCCTTTAGACGTTGCTTTTATGAAACCTCTTAGCATTTACTATTGTGATGAAGTTAAAAAATGGCTAAGAGAGCATGCCAGTGACCACCGAGTAGTAACTCATTTTCAAATTGCATCACTTCTAGGTAAAGCATATTTAAAAGCTGCTACAATGACTACTGCTATAAACGGCTTTAGAGCCACTGGCATATGGCCACTGGTTCCTAATAATTTTAATGAATCTGATTTCTTAGTTAGTGCTACAACAGAAATAGACTTGGAAAATCAAGAAAATGTTTCAATTTAAAAGAATATACCACATACATCAACACCTATACCAGGTGTCTCTAAAAGTAAAGAAACAGCGGTTTCAATAGACGAATCCATACCACTTACACCAACACATTCTTCTTCACCTGGTTGCTCTCATTGGTCACAACCTTTTCCAAATTCAAGATTTAATGCCAATTCCAAAAAGTAATAAGACAACTAAAAGAAATTCTAGGCGACGGGGAAAGACAGCCATTCTAACTGAATCACCATATAAAAATGAACTTTTGGCTCTATCCAGCAACAACACTTCTAATACTTCAGTTAAAAGATCTTTATCACTAAATAAAACATCAGGAGAAAAAAAAAAGAAAAAGGTTATGACTAAAAATTCAAATGCTAAAATTCAAAAGAAAAAAATTGAAATACCGATGTCAAGTTCAGAAAATGATGATGATATTTGCTTTTATTGTGATGAACTATACTCAAAGTCTATTGATGGCTGGATTAAATGCACAGCGTGTAAGAGATGGCTCATAACCTTTGTGCTGGCATTGAAGAAGAAGAAGACTATATTTATATGTGAATTTTGTTCATAATTTTTTTTCTATTTATTACTCTCTAAATATTACTCTAATATTATATCTTAATAATTTTTTCCTTAAACCTATAACTCATAAGATTGTTTGTTAACAAAATATAGAAAATTTATATTAATAAAATAAAAAATAAATCAAAAATGTGTGTTTTGTCAAATTGTTATTCATTTTATAAAGAATACCCCATTTTGCCCCATAATATTTACTATGGGCAAAATGGGGCAAAATGAGCTTTTTAAGTTTTTAATTTTCACTAAGTCAAAAATTATTTTATTGTTATTAACTGATACTGGTATTATATTAGACAACATAAAGATCATATGCCTGTAGTTTTAGAAAAATATCATATGAAATAAACAGTTTATTCCTAATAAAACCTTAGCGTCCCCATTTTGCCCCAAGTTCCCATAGTAGTCATTATCCTCAACCTTTATTCACGAATAAGAAAAAAAAAAATCGCGAAAGACGTGACACGTAGCGTTGCGCTCATGCGTAAAAAAATGCTAAATTACTTACTTCCAAGGGCCATAACTTCGAAACTAAGTGAGAGCGACAAATTCTGATTGCACCATCGTTCTTAACTCGATGAGTTACATAAGTTCCAAAAAAAAATATCGAAAAATATGCATGGGGTAGTAAAGTGCACTTTAGCCGACAATTGTATACAGTTTACAGTTGAACAGTTCACAATATCACAAATAGACATTCGTAGTATAACGTCTCAAACAAAATAATATTATATTTTTTCCTTGTACCATACTATTTTATTATTATAAATTTGAGATTTATATTTTATATTGTTTTAATAATGCCTGGTAATAAATGCCAGTATTTTAATTGCTTTAAAAATACTGTTAAGTATAATGGACTACGCAATGTCATCACCTTTTATTACAGTAAAAATGCTTAGATTTTCTTCAACAGTATTGTTTCTGATAGGAAAGTGAATCTAGGTAGATGGTACTTTGGGGGTCAAAAGTAAAAATTTCCCAGTAGTTTTCAAAAGCGCCGTGGAAAACAAAAGGAAAATTATGGAAAACGGCAATTTTTTCGAGAAAATCGATTTTGTTTTTTGATGTAACTCTAAAACAAATAACCGTAGTAGGTACATGCAACTTTGACTGAATGTTAATATTAGCATTTTCTATGCACCATAAAATTTTCCAAATATTTTGACTTATTTTGAGCTGTTTACGGACATTTTCAGTTTCCACTTGTTTTAGTTTTTTTTATCCATTACCCATATAACGTAAGACGCCCAGAAAAATAAAATTAAAGGAACAAATTGAAAAAAAATTGAAAAAAATAAAAAATAAAAATAGCCAAATTTCTAAATTAAAAAACTATGCTTCTAAATTTAAAATTCGAAATAATTTAAATAATCTTATAAATGCATATCAATTTCCATCCAGTAACTCTAGGGCATTAGTAACTATCACGGTTTAAGATAGTCTATCTTAAACCGTGGTAACTATGCAGATAAAAAACAAACGTCGTACATCGACAACTGCAGAGAGGAATTTAGCTTTTACTTTTTTTTACAAATCCCCAACTGCATATAATTTTTTACGCCTACAAAAAATTAATTTACCTGCTCCGTCAACCATTAGACGCTGGATCGGGGAATCAAAATTTTTACCTGGTTTCAATGGTTACTTTTTTGATCATGTTCAAAAAAAAAATTGAGCACAAGAATTATAAAGAGAAGGCATGCAGCGTTGGTTTTGATGAAATGTATATCAAAGAGTTTTTAGAATATTCTAAACAGTATGATTTTATTGAAGGTTTTCAAGATTTAGGAACTTACTTTAGAATGAATAAAAGTGTGAACTGCGTATTAGTGTTTTTAGCAAGTGGTATATATTCTGGATGGAAATTTCCTGTTGCATATTATCTTTCTAATTCTGGAGTAAAAAAATAAATTCTAAAAGATTTAGGGCCGATTTCACCAACACAGTTAATCATGATTAAAGTTAACCGGAGTTTTAATCGGCCGAATTTGGCCGGTTAAATATCTGTTATCAGCCGATTAAGCGTTAACCGTGATTAACTGTGTTGGTGAAATCGGCACTTAATTGTTCACATTTTAAACAAACTATTTGATATTGGCTTATGTCCGAAACTCATAGTATGTGATCAAGTTACATCAAATCAAAGTGCTTTAAAATTGTTAAATGTTAATGAGAGAAATCCGTTTTTTTTTGTAAATGGTCATAAAATATATTCTTTATTTGATGTTCCGCATTTACTCAAAAGTGTTCGTAACAATTTCATTGAAGCTTGTTTTCAAAAGAACGATAAAATTTTTTCATACAAAGACATTAAAGATACTTATGATTTAGATAAACAAAGTAAAAAAAGTAATTCTCTTAATAAAATCACTGATGCACAAATCCATCCAACGTCTTTTCAAAAAATGCGTGTGAAGTTGGCTGTGCATGTCGTCAGTTATACGCACATGTGCAGAAACTGGTCAACTTTGCAGTAAAACCGCAATTGATACCGCAGATTTTATTGAATTTATGAACAACTTATTTGATTGTTTAAATAGTAGATCTACGGCCTAAAATAGTGTGCAGTACGACACTGTTAGTACAAAATCGGAATAGTGCAGTACAAAATGAAAATGTGTGTTGATTATTTTAGTGTTATATTTAGACTTTGTGACTGGTTTTTATTAACTTTTATTTTTTTTTTAGTTTTGAATTTTAATTTTAATCTATGGTTATATTAACTGATAAATTACATGTGTGTGTGTGTGTGTGTGTGATAAAATGCATTGATAATGCCATTGGAAAAAACTAATAATAGCATATGATGTATATTTAATCCATGTTATAAGCTATAATTATAATTATTTTATTGTTACTCTGTGGTAAGTGGTTGTATGATTCCATGAACTAACTAAGATATTATCACAGAATAAAATATTATAATATTATTATCAGTTATGTATACCATAGATACATAGTAAAACTTATTTTGTGGTAAATGAAATATCAGCAAAATAAAATTATTAATTAATGTTTTCTGATTCTGGTCCACCTAGCGAAATATAATATATTATTATTTAGTATAGTACTACACTAGTACACTACTACGGTGCTATGGATCGTTTTGTGGTTAGAAAAAACTGTAAAAACTGCAACAAGATTTTCTCTATCTCCTACAGTAATGAAAGATTCTCTGTATGTGAAAATAAACATGTCAACTTTAGACAAGTTTGATTCTCAACCAGCTGTCTTTAATTGGATAAACAAAAAAAAAAAGAGACATTCTAAAATGCATACACATGCAGAAAAACAGGAATGGTATCAAGGGGTTTTTGAAGAAGTCAAAGAAAAATATAATTTAACAAATAATATTGAACTTGGAAAAATACAGTTTTAAATATAATTTTAGGTTATACTTTTAATTATTCTATACAGGTGACAGGTGTGATGTTAAATTTTCAAATTAAAAAAAAAAAAAATTTAACTTATATTTTATTTTTAGAGAGGGAGAACTCATATTAAATTATGTGAAATTATAAAATAGTGTAGTACGAAGTTTCATTTATTTTAGTCCCTGAGTAGATCACTTTATAGTAATAATCCATACAATTCCGCACTAACGCATACGGGAATTTCAAAACTTTTTTAATAAATGCTTCAAAATATTTTATAAACTTGAAAAAAATCAAAAAAGGAAAAATTTCACAACCTCCATGATTTAAAGGATTTACTCAAACTATTAATCCTATTTTACAATTTTTTGAGGATGAAAAATGTAATGATATTTTTTTTAAATGACAAATCGACTCAATCAAAATAAGCTTGAAAATTTATTTAGTATTTTTCGGCAGAAAGGGGCTATAATAAAAATCCAACTGCAAGGACAATAAGGACTTCTATTAGAAGTAGTTGTATTTTTTCTTTGTGTGCTTCCACAGCAACTCACTGTCGCAAGACACAAATGATTTTATATCAATCGATGTAGATAAAATATCTAACACAGAAACTATAGAAACATATTCTGATGACGAATCAAGTATTTCTTCGAGTTCATCTGATAAAAAGTTAAAGCGTATAGATGAAATTCAAACAGACAGGATCACCCTAGAAGATTGTTCAGTCACTTATTTTGCTGGATACCTTATATACAAATGTTATAAAAAATTTGATAGCGATAATTTTTAAAATAATTTACAAAATAATAAAAATTTAAATGATAAAAGCCAACTGCTTTTAATAAATAAAAATTATTCTTCTTGTCAAAATTATATCGCACTAAAGGCACCATCAATTAATTAAAAAAATTAATCGCGTATTGAAATTTTTGAAAAACATTTTGATCAAATTCAGTACAAAAAAAAATTCGATTCAAATTAACATTAAAAATGAAAAATGATATCTTAATAAATAAATAGATAAATGAGTTTGAATCTTGTGTGGAACATAAATTATATATTATATACTTGTTGTTAATTTCTAAGATATTTAAAAAAACTCAATCATATTCCACTACATCTCAACTAACCAAAATAAGTAAATCAACGATTTTAAATCATATTTAAATATTTAGCTTTAAGCAATTTTTTTATTTACGATTTTTCATTCCAACAATATTTTAACATTTAACATTTGTACTAAGGTGTATTAATTATGTTTATTTATATTTGTTTTTTATGGTTAATTTAAATTTCGGTTATCATAATTATTTACAGTATATTATATAATAATGATCATTAATTATTGTTAAACTGTTTATTTATTTATTGTTCCAATTCCATCCTAGTTACGATAAGCTGCCGACTGCCGTGCCCGCATGTCCGTCGCGATGCCAGTCAATAAATAATAAAAATAGATTTTGATTTCATAGAAAATATTATACAAGTTGGACACCAAATAGGTAACGATATCTATCGACAACTAAAATAAACAATATTTTGGTCACCGAAAGCTCCTATGGCTTATCTGTATATTATAAAAATCAATGGTTCTACATAACTACATGCATTTGGGAGTCGAAACTGAACATAATGGAAAGGCCACAATTTGTATTATTTTACGTATCAGTTGTGTAACCAGTATATCTTTAATCATGACCTGTACCGATACTGTTGAATTGATTCCTTGGCTTTTTTTAGAGGTATGTACGACTGTACGAGTTGATTCCCTTATTGTTGTTCTATCAGTAACTAATATAACAAGTATTTTAATCTAAGAAAAACAGAGAATAATAAGTTTTTATGAGATAAGTGATGAACAAGTATACTGATAATTTCAATTTTTATTAGCAGATAATAGTTTTTAAACATATATTTATTTTAATTTGTTTATCTAAATGACAATGAATACCAAAATATTTGATGTAAAAAAATCGTATCCATGTTCCATAATGATTTTCAAAATATGAAAAAACTAAAAAGATGACAATTTTTGACATTTGTCAGACAACCTCCAGACCTCCTCATGAGTAGGTGACGCTAATAGGATGAAGTGTTCATTGAACATATTATCATATACATTTATCATATTACCTATCAGTGGGTATTCAATTAAACTTTTTAAATATATGAATACTTATACGAAAATAGTTAAAAATTGTAAATAATTTATTTTTATAACATATTTGTAGAAAAATTAAAATCAAAGATAACTGTCACTGCCAAAGTTATTATTAGAATAACCCAAGAATATTATTCCACGAAGTATAAACATGATTTTATATTATTTTCTTGAAATCGTGATTATTGATTACATATACGGGTTACGGGAAGATATATATGTATGTATAATTTATAATAAAACCCCCTCCATTGAAAATATCTGTGTATGCCACTGTTACCGATAATTGATAAACAATAATAGGTGAATCAACTTGTTCTCATAAAAAAAAAAATTTTCATTAAGAAATTAGTACGTTTTTCCAATTTATTTGTGTTTTCTTCAATTTCTATTTCTAAACTATTACATTTTTCTAATATTATCATGTGCCTTGCTGTGATTTAATTTTGTTCCAGTTTTTGAAGATTTTCCATTTCTTTCCTTTCCATTTTATTCTGAATATGGTCACAGAATTAATATATCGTATAATAAATATCGTTCAACAGAGGCACTTTACGTCTGACGTCTGAATCTTAATAGCTCAGGAATCAACTAATACATAATATAATAAGTCTCAGAAATAAACTCAACATCAGCGTACCTAACCATCAGTGGCGTGTCGAAGGTATTATTTTAGAAAAATTGCTCCTTCAAAATTGTTGGTTGGTGGGTGGTCCACTGACAGAAAATACCTAGCCCACCTAGGTGACTAGGTATATTGTAGAAATATCATACCCGATTATATAAATCGTTACAAATGTAGGCGTATTTGTAAATTTTTAATTTAAACTTTTTTGGTGAGTTCGAAATGCCGTCAATAAACATCAAGGGAGGTGGGTGGGTGTGTACCTTGTATACATTTTTGCTCATCACCAAAAATGAGTTCACCACGCCACTGCTAACCATAGTAGATATAATTACCCTAAGAGATAAATTCTTCTGACTCATTGTGGCTTTTGTGAGTGTTGGTTGCTGTTTGTCGATCTTCATCGCTTATAAAAGGACCTACCTACCATATAAGGATTAAGCTACAAAATTAATAATTAGGTAGGTAGGTTAGTTGTTGATAATTGATGAAATAGTCCTAATAATTAAAATGTAATTAACTGTACACACTATACGGTATCCGTGGATGAATTAGTTTTACTTGGTGTGATGGGGTAGGTGATACACCCCCCTGGAGTCGGTGGAACTAAAGTAGTCGGCAATTTCAACTCAATTTGATTCGTAATGAAATTTAAAATGTATAATATATAAATAATTATGGTTATTTGTATGCACATTAGTCATTAATAGGTACTTTTATTTATACATATAATGTATTGGATGCGCTTGACTAAACTTGTATTATTATGCTATTTTTGGACGTTTGGTTTATGTTTGTAATAGAAATAGAAAAAATAACTAATATATATTAATCAAGAAATTCGCCAGACTAAACCGGTGTAGATTTCCCCTTAAAAAGTAAACCGGTGCAGTATTAAGAAATTCGCTGGACTAAACCGGTTAAGAATCGAGACACACCGGTTTACTTTTTTTCGACCACTGTAGCGAGGTGGTCGAAAAATACCGATCACGATCCGTCCCCACCCTAAACCTGAATTTCCCCTTGTTATCTGTTATCACATCAATCACTATCAATTTTTACACTAAACCAAATTAAAAAATAAAAATATGCAATAAGTATGCATATTATTCTGTACCTACAATAAATTTTAACTATTAAACGTGATTTATATATTAATAATATACTACTAAGTATAATAATATTACTACCTGCTCATAAAAGAGACCTAGTAGTATAAAAAATATTAACATGGACTCGGAAAATGAGATAATTGTTATGGGACATGATGCTGAGTATGGAGGTAAATGTAATTTACATAATGAAGTATTTTTTTAAACACTTCTGTCTCGTTTTACTTTTGTTTAGATGAATTCCAAGATATGTTAGTTGAAGAATATGATGAGGAACTGAATGGTGAAGTACAGGCAAATAATAATCAAGCATACAATCCGAGTATGTATTTCATTGATTTGAGAATTGACGATATGAAATTTTTATTTTTATTTTTTATAGATCTATGGCCAGTGGCAGCTACAAAAATGCTTATTGCAATAAGAGGTCCAATGAGTGCCGAATTTGAAAAAATTAAAAAAAGGGTCAAAAAACTGCACTCTGGCAAAAAATTGCCAACAAAATGACAAATAAAAATTACAATTATACTGCGAAGCATTGTGATGAAAAGTGGAGACGACTGCTCACACGCTTCCGACAGGTACACGATGCTAGTAAACGCAGTGGAAATGGAGGCGTAAAATGGCAATATTATGATCTAATGCAAGATGCAATGTCATCAGTATCGAAACAGACCATTTCACCTCCAGAAAGTAAGATATCTTAGTTTTTTTAAGGAAGTATTTACAATTACCTTTTACCATTGGCGTGCGCACGAGACATAATGAAATTTATATGTATAAATTGTCAGTCCTGTAAAGTATTTGAATAAAAGTATTCAAATACTTTTTTAAGTATTGAATAACTTTTTAAATACTTTCAGCATGAAGTATTTTGAATGGTATTTTAAATACTTTTTTTTGTATTAAATACTTTGGAAAAATATTATTGTCAACTACAATAATAGAATAATAGTTTTATTTAATATTCTGTATTTCTGTGTTCGCCCAAGCCCGAAGGTTTGTGAAATTTACGACGGATGACAATTTTGAATATATAATGTTTTTAAAATGTAATAAACATTTATTTAATATATAATAAATAAAAATGATTATAAACCCACTACCTATGTGTCTATATTACAATAATTAGAAACCCACTTTAAAAACCAAAAGTATTTGAAAAGTATTTGAGTAGTATTTGAAATACTATACAATTAAGAGGACACTATACCCGCATGCGTTGTCTCCGTCTTACAAATGCACAACATAGCAAAAAACTGTTTTGCGCGGGAAAGAACCGAGAAGGCTACAATTATAACTAAGAAACGATATTTTCACCACATAAAAAGAAGAACTTTGGCTGTGCAACGTTCTTTATATTTTTTTGATATCATTTATATGAAAAAAGTTTTTCAAGTTTGAAAAACACAAACAATAACGGTTTTTTAAACAGTAAGAACTTTTTTTATATAAGTGATATCAAAAAAATAAAAACAACGTTGCACAGCCATAGTTCTCCTTTTTATGTGGTGAAAATTTTGTTTCTTAGTTATGACTGTAGCCTTCTCGGTCCTTTCCCGCGCAAAATAGTTTTTGATATGTTGTACATTTGTAAGACGGAGACAACGCATGCGGGTATAGCGTCGTATAGCGTCCTCTTAAAGTATTTGTGTAGTATCTTAAATACTTTAAAAAAAATGTATTTGAGTATTTACTCAAGTACTTTTTAAAAGTATTCTTTACAGGACTGAATTAATTGTATACTAATCAGTGGCAAAAGTATTATTTTGGAGCAATCGCGCCTCAACATTTTTGGTAGTTGGGTGGTCCCCCCCTCCACAATCTACTTAGTCTCCTAAATTTAGTGCACAAGTGTGCTGTACATGGTCCATTACACTGGTAACAATTGGTGCTAAGTGCTAACTCATAGCTATACCAACGTAAGAAACATTATGAAATCTACACACACTAAATATAAATCAAGATACAAGATAATTAATGAGTGTGATAATTTAACTAATTAAGTAGGTACATCTGATTACACAAATCTCTACAAATGTATGCATATTTTGTAAATGTTGAATATCTTGCTATGGTGGAAATGCCGTTAGAATGGATAAATAAGTAGGGGTGGGTGGGTACCTTGTATACATTTTTGCTCCTCACTAAAAATGATTTTAACTCATTAACGTAATTGTTATATTTATAACACTTGTAATACCTAATCAAGTTATTACTTTAATTTAAATAAAATTAGTTATAGTATATTTTTCCATGTTACAGATTTGTTGCATGAATCTTCTAGGTCTGAATCTACTCCATCAGTAACAAAATCTCATGTTTTGAATACTCCAGAATTGTCATCACCAGCATCAAGTTCTAGTCCATCACCAACGCACCGTCCATCATTATTAAAATTAAACAACAGTGACAAAATGCCTGTTTGGTTTGAGAAATTTGAAATATTGAAAAAAAAACAAATAGAATTTAATAATGAAAACACAGCACAACTCCATGAACGGTAAGTAGGACAAGAAGTGTAAATAAAAAAATATTTTATAATCCATCATTATTCCATAAGCTTTTTTTTTTTATAGATTAGACAGACTGGAAAATAGAGAAGAGAGTATGATACAACAGCAGCTTCTAAGTAAGTTAGATACTGCGAATGAAATTGAGTTACAAAAGTTGGAAATGTTTAAGAAAATGTTCAACAAACCCTAGTTATATTTTTTAACCCTTTAGTATACTGTTACCTAATTGTTTTTTATTACCATAAGTAATTATAATACTGTTTTTTTAATTTTTTGTTAAATTATATCCTTTAAATACTCAACTTAATCAAAAGAACTGATTAGTTAAAAATTATTATTTATTTTTGTTAAAGTCTAAGTATTATTATGTTTTTCATTGCAAACTAATACTGTTACTTAATTGTTTTTTATTACCATAAGTAATTATAATACTGTTTTTTTTTTAATTTTTTGTTAAATTATATCCTTTAAACACTAAACTTAATCAAAAAAACTGATTAGTTTAAAATTATTATTTATTTTTGTTAAAGTCTAAGTATTATTATGTTTTCCATTGCAAACTAATACTGTTACTTAATTGTTTTTTATTACCATAAGTAATTATAATACTGTTTTTTTTTAATTTTTTGTTAAATTATATCTTTTAAACACTAAACTTAATCAAAAAAACTGATTAGTTTAAAATTATTATTTATTTTTGTTAAAGTCTAAGTATTATTATGTTTTCCATTGCAAACTAATACTGTTACTTAATTGTTTTTTATTACCATAAGTAATTAAATAACAAAATGTTTTTATTTAACTAATTTTTTTGCTTTTATTTATAAATATTCATTTATTTGTAAAGAATTACATATAAAATCTCTTTTAATCATGCCACCCATAATTTCCTCTTCATTTTCCTCGATAGTTTCTTCTGATGGTATTGGATCATAATCAATATAATCATCGCCTACTGACATACATATATTGTGTAAGCAGCATGCAGCTGTAATTATTTTTCCACAAACATCTTTTTTATATATATCCATATGCCTGAAATTTAAAATTAAATGTATTACTTAATTTTTAAAGATTTATTTATTATATCCGTGTACATTGTACATGAAGTTTCATTAAACATACTTTAATTTCCTAAATCTGCAAATTAATTTTCCAAACGCCTGCTCAATTAGAATTCGAGTACTACTCAATGCCCTATTAAAATTTTTTTCCTGTCTGGTTAAATGCCCATTATCTTTATAAGGTACCATTAGACCTTCAGTCAATGGGTATGCACCATCTCCCAGAATATGGCATGTTGGTGGTAGAATGGTCCAAGGATTATTAATGATCACCTGACCAATACTGCTGCAACGATAAATCCGTGCATCATGTGTACGTCCAGGCCAACCAGCAAAAACATCTATAAACTTTAGATTTGCATCAACGATTCCCTAAATAAATATAAAATTATTAATTAATTTAAACCTAGTAGTAGAATATAAACTATTATTTATATTATTATTACAGTTGAATTAAATTTATCCACAAGTACAATATTTCTAAATATCAGTATTAGATTAAAATGTTCAATATTAAATTATAGGGGGGGGGGGCAATGGAGAGGAAAAATCAAATGTTGGGGGCACCAGCCTACCATTGCCCCAGTGTAACCCTGCCCCTGCCAGCTATTAATAGGTACATACCTGTAATACTATGGTAGGCACTTGTTTTCGATTACAAAACATATTTCTATCCAGTTTTGGCATTTTTGTTCTCTTTTCCCATGGAAATAGTGTATTTATGTGGCATCCATCAATACAACCGAAAACATTTGGAAATGAATTATCTCCACGAAGTAAATTAAATTTATTCAAATTATCTGTGGCAGCTTGGCCAGATGGCCAAACAATAATTTTAGCAGCTACACTATTCAAAGCTATTAAACAGTTATTCACTATTGCGTGGCTTGTACTATCTGCTACATCAAATCTATTTGCAATTTGTCTAAAAATTAAAAACCAATACGATATTAATGTTATTTTACCTAAATAATTTTAGATATTTTATTTCAGTAATTTTTTTCACCTGTAAGTTTCACAATTTGCCATATACCAAATAAAAATTAAAACTTGTTTTTCTATATTAATTTTTATAGACTCCAATGAAAGAATCGGGCCAATGTATGAGACTAATACCTAAGAAAAATAAAATTTCAGTAGAAATTTAGAAAAATATTTGAATAACATAAAGTATACATTTTCATTAAATTAGTACTTTTAAACATGACCCTTAGAGACAAATAACAAACCTCAATACTCCTTCGATCTAAACGAAAGTGAGATTTAAATTCCTTGTCCGAAAATTTTGGTACCATCAATTCAGCAAACATTTTTATTTTTGTTTTTAATTCTTTTAGCTTCACTAAAAATAATAAAGTCGTCTTCACTTTGATCATCATCACCGGAACCAAAATACACTGGATGAATAAATACATCTAATTTAAAAAATGTCTTACATGTTAAATGTATAGGTATCTTGTAGTGGGTACAGGGTTGGGCAAGATACTAAAAAAAAAGTATCATGATACATGATACATGCATTTAGTCTATCAAGATACAAGATACATGATACATGTACATAGGTGCAAATAGCATTTGGGATTTGGGGGGGGGGGCTAAACCCTTACTTTGATAATATTGACTAAGCTTAAAACAAAATGTAGAAAATGTTTGGGGGGGCTATGGACATTTTTGGGAGGGCTTATCCTCTAAAGCCCCCCCCCTATTTGCGCCTGTGTACATGTATCAAAGATACTTAGATACATGATACTTTTATATTTGTATTCAAATTTTATTTACTATTAAACTTAAAACGTCTATACATAAATCACTAGGTACCTATACTGTCAAAACATAAATACTATTAAAATCAAAATTATATTAAATAATACAATAAGTCAATAGGTACTTGCAGGTACACATTATAACATTATAACTAATACATCACTATATAACATAAATACACCAAAATTAATAAACTGCATAAAAATTACATCTTAATTTGTACTTATAGATAGTTCCTTTATGTGTACAATTGGTAGTGGACTTATGGTCAACAATGAATATAAATTAAATATAAAATACTAATAATAATAAATTATATATAAAATATAAATTAAATTGGTTATGGTCTTATGGCCTTATTAGTTATGGTTGGTTTTTACTTTTTAAATTAAATGTTATTTTTATGAATAAAATATTGATTGCTTTTAAGAAAAATTAAATTTTCAAATGTTTTGTCTGATAGATTAGATCTACTGGGTGAGTGCACAAAACTAGCAAATGTAAATAAACGCTCAACAGGTCACAGGAGCAGATGAACAAAGACTTGTATTATATTTTATAAATAGTTTTTTTATAGATGGATAATTATTTAAGCAATGTAATGATTTGTTATTGTCGTTAAAATAAGTAATTAATTCTAGTTCATTCTTTGATTGCTAATTAATATTATCTAATACCGAAAATCGAAATGTGTAGGTACTATTCAGTACACATTTCTACACTAAAAGAACCTTGTATCTTTTGGCACAACATTTGGCATAAAATCTATCATGATACATGATACTTGATACTTTAAAATTATGTATCATGATACAAGATACAAAATACAATTGTACTTGATACTGCCCAACCCTGTGTCTGGGTGGGTAAAACATTTAAATTGACTAAAATCTATACTTACTTTTTCGATTGGACATCGATTGTACTGTATGATTTATAACATCAGTGACAACACGGTTCTTACTAAGTATAAAATTCTTAAGCATCGCAATTTTAAAATTATTATTATCATCATCCATTTTTATTTTTATTGAAAAAAAATTATAAAACATAGAAACTAGACATATAAATATTAATAAATATGGAAACTAGCTAGTATAGGCAGATGAAAACTATGACAAAGATTTAAAAAACCCGCGGGAAACAATTCATATCAACTATATCCGCGATAAGAAAATGAATTAGAAAAGTGGGAGTAAACCGATCTATAGCCCGAATTTCTATCTAAACCGGTGTATCTTTACGCAGAACCATGATCATGAATCGGGATCGGTAAAGCAAACCGGTTTAGTCTGGCGAATTTCTTGAATCATTCCCCACTTTGAATAGCTACTTCCTCAGCACGACCGAAGAAGGTACCAAACACCCGGACACACCACACAGTCGTAAATATGTACGGTAATCATAATATTGGGAAATATTATGATAATTAATAAAAATAGATTCTATTAAATGCTAAAATGCATTGGTATTTGGTTCATTCCAGTAAACAGTCTTATCTAGTATCTACTAACCGTCTCATAATAATACGTTTAATAATAAATAGGAACCTGTTATAATGTATGTAAAGAATATATAATAATACAAACTTCAAAATTTACCGGATCAGTAGGAAGCTAAAGAATTGTATATATGTGATGCCTAATCTCTATGTATTAATAAACAGTACTAAAAAATCATTGGAAAACTTAAGATCAGAATCTAAAAATATGGATAGCTTAATTAATAGTTCCAAAATAACTGCAAAAACTTTTTTAATTAACCCAGAAAAAGATTTTAAACACCGCCAAACTAGAAAGATTCCAAAAAGAATTGTTAGTAATGCTGAAAACTGTGCAACTGTTGATTTATTAACACATTATCGGGAACAATTTTATCAATTATTGGATACTTTAATAAACTTATCAAAAAAAAATCTTAAAGTTCTTGTTGCAACTCTCTAGCCATTGAATAATAATTTTCGGATTCCATTAAAAATTTAAGAAGCAACAGTTGAAAATTTAAAAAAAAAAGGCATTTTACATTTTTCATCCAAATAGGATTTTGATGCAGTAGCAGCTGAGTGGGAAATATTATGCCACCAATGTAAAAATACTGAGACAATTATGAAAGTTATGGAAAAATCAAACAAGTTTCAGAAACTTTTACCTTGGGCAAACTGGTTATGTCCCCATGCATTTACATGCTTTTTATTTATATGAATATGAAATAGTCAATTAAAATATGTATAATTGTCTACAAACCTTTAACTTCATTGTATCTTAAATTTGTAATGTTTGGTTGACTCCTAAATAATCTTATTTTAATGTTTTTATTTTTAGATTTTAACTCAAATTTTAAGCAATTTGCATACATCTAATGTTTGTATTTTAGCCCGTCCCCCCCCCCCTATACGGTCAAAGAGTCAGCAAATTGTTGGGTGCACCCCTTAAGTATTTATCTCAGAACCACGCCTGCTGGCATCGTACAGGTAAAATTAAAAAAAAAAAAACAATGAAAATTTAATTTAATATTCGGGAAGTGAGGTAAATTAGACAATACAATTTAAAAACGAAAAATTAAATATAAACCTAGCTTGACTAAATAAAATAAAATTTTCCATGGAACAAAATATTAATACTTACGTCGTTAGAGCCCTATAGATACTAGGTATGCTACACAGCCATTTTGCGACTAATAATGTTATATGGATATGAATTTTTCCCCTTTTATTTTATCATTGATAAATGAGTCGCAAAATAGTGGCATAGCATACTCATTATATGTAGAGTCTTAAACGTATTATTCCCAGTGTTGGGAAGGAACGCGTTCCTTTTATAGGAACGAAGCTCGGAACGCGTTCCATTTAAAATATAGGAACGAGGAACGGGAACGAGTTCCTATTTTGAAGGAACTTGAACGAAAATTTCCGTTCCTCAAATAATGAAAAAAAAAATATAAATATATTTATTTTTAACACGTTGAGTGCCACAGTATATTTTATGAAGCGCATATAGTGTGTTTCCGCGCTAAAACTGAGCCGCGACGCCGTCGATCGACTACGTGTCGCGTTCCGGGTCGTTTCCGGTTCCGCGCGCCATGGACCAATAAACGAAATACGAACCTAGCGGATTATTATTGAAATGGTGACAATAAGCGAATCACTCTGATAAAGTAGACGTCTGTCTTAACAGTTAGCACGAGCCACGAACTAAGATATAACAGACTGTGTATATAATATGTTCATGATCTTAGATAAGATAACGATGTTATTGTGATAATCATGCCATAATGGTTGAAGTTAAACAATTTAAATGATAACAAAGTACAAATATGATATAATATTATATCTGATATCCTAATCATACGTTTTGTCCATGATTAAAGATATATGTTAAATCGTGCCATCGTGGTTTTGTCGACTATCGTCTTGATGTGAGTCGTTTTAAAATTTAATTTAAACGATATTGAAATTAATAAAATTATTGTCTGACGTCTGACCGTGTGTTTCTAGTTTTCAGTGTTTTCACTTTTCTACATTGGTTTATGGTTATTGTTATTTCAGTTATTTGTTTGAAGTTCGAAAATAATATGTCCAACTCAACACCAACAACACCCACTGAGGGAATTTTACCGGATAGTTCAAACCAAAATGGTAAGTACAAAACTACAAACCTATGAAACATTTGTTAAATCTCAAAATATTTGTTAATATTTTGACAACTAATCTTATGATTACAATGATTATTAACAAATGTTCTTGAACCATAACTAATATTTTATTTATTTAAAAATGTATTTTATCAGAATGTTTGCCATGGTCTGGGATTGACAGTTTTTTTTTGTTCAATGGCTACAAAGGAAATAATGTGCTTGCCAAGTGCGTTATGTGTAGTCCTACGATCAAAATAATTAGTACGGCTAAGAACACCACAGCCAACCTTCGACGTCATATTACGGTAAGCCAATTATTGATATATTTATTTCATATCATGATATTTAGTAATGTTGCTAATAAACTTGTTTAATGCTTTTTAAAATTATTACTTTTCAAAATACTGAATAATTCATATTTCATATTATTATGGTTAATTGTATTAGAATTTGAAAGTTTAAAAGTTACTTTTTTAAATAACTAATGAGTAATAATTTATGTGAAAATCAGAAAATGTAACTTATGAAATTATGAAATATACTGAAATTTAGCACTTTTATTTTTTTGGAATACATTTCAATTTTAAATGTATTTTTAAAAACTATTACCTAATATAGTAGCTAATAAATATTAAATAATAGTTATGCTTAAATTATTTAACTTATAATTGTAAAAAATTAAATAGTGGAAAATATTACTGTACTACAATTAATTAATTATATGTATAACTGTAGGTAAATAAATTAACGAACATTGTAATGTTTGTTTTTAAGAATTCAATGACTTAATCTAACTATTCTATTACCATTTATATTGTTTTTAGAGAGTCCATCCATTCAAATTAAAGGTCTTTGAAAATGCTGTAAATGAGGGAAAATCTAATTCAAGTCGACCAAAAAAGAAAATTATCATGGAGCAATCTGAAAGTACACAAAAAACATCAGTTCAATCAACACTTGAGTGCTATTCATCTGGTAAAGGTATAGAACACACAAAAGTATCACAGAAAAGTTTAGACAAACTATTGTTGGAATTTGTTATTAGTGAAACTCAACCTTTAAGCATAGTAGACAAACCTGCATTTGTAAATTTAGTAAAACTAGGTTTGCCTAATGAGTTAAAAGTCATGTGTAGAAAAACGATGAAATTGCGTATTGATAATGCTTACTCAACTATGGTTGATAATCTTATAGCAAAATTATCAAATGTTGAACATGTTGCTACTACAGCTGACTGCTGGACAAAAGGCAAAAGAAGTTATTTAGGAGTCACTTGTCACTGGATAGATAAAAAAAGTTGCAGTAGAGAATCAGTATCGTTGGCTTGTACTCGTCTAAAAGGACGTCATACTTATGATGTATTAGCAAATGCATTATATAAGATTCATGCTATGTATAAAATACAAAATAAGATTGTTGCTAGTACCACAGATAGTGGCTCTAATTTTGTTAAAGCATTTAAATCATATCAAAAATCCAATGATACAGATGATGAATCCGATGAAGACGAAGATTGTAATGATGATGAAGTGATTGACTTGTTTGAAATCTTGAGCAATTGCCCAGAAGAAGATACTGATATGTATATCCAATTACCTCCACATTATAGATGTGCAAGCCATACATTGGATTTAATCGCCAAATGTGATATAGATAAAATGATAAGAAGTGCTGATACTTCATTCAAAAACTGCTATAGAAAAGCGCTTGCCAAATGCTCATCGTTGTGGACAAAACAAAACATGTCGACTTTGGCTGCAGAAAATATTCACAATTTACTTAATGTTAAAATCTAAAAACTCCCAACAAAACCAGATGGAATGCCACGTATGATGGATTATTACAAATAAAAAACATCTTATCAAGCTTAAATGGTATGGAAAAAATTAATCAAGCAATGGACTTCTGTGAAATTCAGCGATTCACAACCCAAGAAATTAAGCTAATTGAAGAATACTGTGAAGTTATGGCACCACTCGCTGAATCTTTAGACTTTTTGCAGGGGGAAGATGGTATGTTAATGGGTTATTTGCTACCAACTCTTTATGCTTTAGAGAAAAAAATGACTATTTTAGAACAAAAAAACTTGCAATTTTGTAGCCCACTTGTCAAGACAATTAAAAATTCATTAAAAAAACGATTTAGCTCAGTATGGAATAAAAAAGAGCTCATTATAGCGTCATGTTTAATTCCACGATTTAAACTTGTTTGGCTTGAGGGTTGTATTGGTTGTAATTATTTCACAGCAGAAGCATGGCTCAAGACTTTATTTGAAAGTGTGGATGAATCGAATAATTCAGAGAATAGTGAAAGTGACTATGCCTCAGAAGACTTTTTCTGTTTACCAGTTGCTAAAAAGAAATCAAAAAAATCCTCATGCATGGAAGAAATTGAATTGTATTTGAAGTCCAATTGTCAAGATTTATCTTTGCTACATACACACCCAGCAGTATTAAAAATTTTTTTGGAGTATAACACACCAATCCCGTCGAGCGCACCAGTTGAAAGGCTTTTTTCCACAGGGTCAAATGTTATGACGGTAATAAGAAACAAGTTGAGTGATTCATTGTTTGAAAAATTAGTTCTTCTCAAACAAAACAAAATGTCAGTATAAAAATATTTTTTCAAATAAATTGAATTTAAAAAAAAAACAGATTGTTGTATTATACTATGTCCTATACTCCTATGGGCTATAAGCCTATAACCTATAGCATGTCTCTATGTGTGGTGTATCGTGTATAGTACACACTATACACTGTATACTATACTACTATAGTAATATACATGTATAATATTATGCAATTATGCAATATGAATGTATATATATAAAGTTTCAAGTCTACGCTATACAACTTTTGAATTATAACAAAAAAATCTAAGACAAATCATTTTTGTTAAAAATCGGTGCTCCTAGAAAGGAATGAGTTAACCGATTTCAGTGGTGGTCAATGGTGTTTTTTGCGAAAAATTTTTAAGTCAAAAATAATCGGTTAACTCTCTCGGTTCGATTATTTCTGACTTAAAAATTGTTCGCAAAATACACCATTGACCACCACTCAAATTGCAAAAAAAGGAACATGAAGGAACGGGAACGCGTTCTTTTTTCGGGACAGGAACGAGGAACGGGAACGAGTTCCTTTCTTACAGTAGGAACGAGGAACGGGAACGAGTTCCTTTTTAAAAGGAACTTTCCCAACACTGATTATTCCCAGAAAATAATATTTTGAGGTATGACTCGAAAGTAGTCGGTTCGACAGTACGCTCTAACTGAAAAATACCACGGCACAAACATTAAAACGGCCACAACGATGATTTAATAGCACGCATTTTAACGGCAACAATGGTACTTGTATTCAACCGATAAAAGCCTCAGATGCCCTATTCTTTAGAATTCTACTCGCCCAGGGGCCCTATTTTCGAGATCATTTGATAAAATATCACGTGTGATATTTGGTCGTCTGGCATGAAAAACCTATGTAAAAAAACCATGTTTTTCAGGGGAAACGTTTTAGTAATTTAAAAAATAAGTATTGAATATGAAAATTTCAAAATATATTTATGTTGTGTAAAATATGTTTAAAAATTTTCCTCTTAAGCCCGGTTTTTCAGTAGTATGTCTAACTGCTAGATAAGTAACTGTTGGATAAATTTATTTGGAAGATAAAGTTATGGTTATGCTGCTTTCCGTTTATCAGTAGCAATCCTTTAGATAGTTATCTCCTAGATAATTATCTAGAAGTTAAGGAATTGATGATGGATAGGTATTAATTACTTTGGTACAAGAAGTCACTCTCGTAATTGATCAAAATTACTCTTATCATTATATTTTATTGCATTATCATTATGTAGATAGCTAGGTATTGCCCATTTGCCCGTGTTATTTGTTAATATTTTTTTCACATTTTTCAGTTCATAATTCATAATTAATATTTTTAATTATTTTAATAGAATATACATAATATAATATGTATACTGTATACATCTATTGATATTATGGAAAAAAAATAGCTTCAATAACTAAAAAACGTGTAAGGTTGACAAATTTTTCCTTTAGTGAGAAGGAATTGCTGTTGAAGTTTGCACTTCAAAAAAAAAGAGTTTTAGAGAATAAGGAGTCAAATTCTGTATCATGGAACGACAAAAACATAGCGTGGGTCGGCATTGCCGAAAAATATAATGCTGCAACACTTGGCTGTGTACGTAACATTTTTTATAAAATAGATATTATATTATATTTTAGTTTTATTATTTTTACTCAACAATCATGTATTTTTTTGTCCATTTTTGATACCCGGCACTGAATTTATTGATTTAACAATGGTGTGTTTTTTTTATTTTTGTGAGAACAGCTTACATAGTAAAAAAAAAAACTACGAAAAATCTGAAGGAAAATAAAAAGTTGTGTCCAGTCTAAATCTAAAAACATGTATAATATGTTAAAAAAAATACCCTTATCATCAATTTTGAAGGAGCTATCTGGGTTGAAAATTGGATCTAATTACTATGCACTTAAGCCTTAGAAATTAGAATAGTATTCTATAATAATATTTATTTTACTAAAATTCTTACTTAAGAAGTTATTTTAGTTATTATTTTGTTTAATCGAAATCCTACTTATTATAGCCGAGAGATCCTACTAACTTGAAGCAGAAGTATGAAAGTATTAAAAAAATGCTTAGGGGGTCAAAAAAAACTTTATTTGAAACTGGCGGTGGACCACATGTGAAACCTTATGAAGCACAGAGTGATTTAGAAAATGAATTATATTCTATAATCAGAATCTCAGCAGAAGGTTTACCTAGTAATTTTGATAGTGATATTCCAATCCGTAAGTTCCTACTCCTTAATACTCCTATTAATAAATACAATTTGTTATATATTATTCTGTAATGTCATACGTCCTACACTCCTACTGTATAAAATCTTTCTCTCCTTTGTAAAATGTTAAGTCCTATAGGCTATAATTTATTGGTTAAACAATAACACTATTCTAAATTCATTTTTTTTTTTAATTATATTATACTTGTTAGATGAATATGAAAATAAAATGCTGGTGAGACATAATTTTAATTCTAATTAATAACCCCCATTAGAATTTGGGATACCTAATAAATTATCATTTATTTGCTGATTATGTGCTATTTAAATAATATTAACATACATTACCTATTTTGTTTTTATTTTTAACAGCTTAAAATTAATGCAATAACTTTTATTCTTATATTCTTTTATAACTTTTAGATTACCAACACAAGATCCTGCCTCATACAAATCCATAATTCTTTTCTCAACCTTTTCTAAAATATTTGAGAAAATTCTTTTAAAAAGACTCCTTCCTCTTGCTTCTTCTAAAAACATAATACCACACACACAATTCGGATTCAGACCAAAACACTTGACATTGCATCAATTACACAAAACAGTCACTATCATAATATATGTGTCAAATCGTTCTTTTAATGTCCGCTTAAACAATACCTACTCAACCCCCTACACTATTAGAGATAGATTGTATAGATTGTAAATTATTTCAAATATAAAATTTGAAAAAAAAACTAGTAGAATGAGATAAGCCTGAAAATTTTTAATTATAATAAATGTATTGTATATTTAAATTTATTGACATTATGATGAAAACATTTACTTAATGCATTATTTTCCAATTTATTTCTATGAACAAAAATCCATCACAACACAAGAAACAAATACGGACGATTGTGTTGAAGAATATGTTGTAAATGAGGAGGAGTTTGATGATGATGCGCCATCAACGCATGCAAATTTGTCGTTTACTAATCGTAATTATTATTATTTCTGTGCTTATTTACTTCATAATATTGTATTATGAACCTTGTGATAAATATAATTATAATTAATATAATAAATATAATATAATTAATATTGATACATTTATGATTTATAGTAATCAAACAATTTCCACCAACTACATCTTCTTCACTAGAAGAGATAGATATAGTTGATACAGATATAAATAAAGAATCATATATTTTTACAGATGAAAATCAAGAGCAACGTAGGTCTAGATTCAAATATTAAACAAAATAAAATGTGTAGAACTTTAATAGCAAAATGCCTGAAATTATAAAAATGTAATTACTGTTTATCAGATAATAATCAAAACAATTCAACTTGGTCTCCTTTAAACTCAACAAAAATGCTAAGAACAACATCTAAAAATCCAAAATTAGTATTTAATAACAGTCATCCAAAACAATGTGAGCTTTTATAATTTTAAATAAAATATTAATTTTCTGCTACATGCAGACATTTAAATATGTACTACAATGTCTTCTTAAAAATTTGTAGCCAACAATAAGAAACATTGCATGACCTCAGCCGGTGAAAAGTTTGAAGACCTTGCAGAGACCAAAATGGAGTTGGTATCTCTGCAACAACAACTTGTTAGACGAAACAAAATTGAAATATATGGCAGAAGAACATGCATTAAAACTTGAGATCTTAAGAGTTGAGTTAGAAATTAAAAAAAAAAAATTTAATTTAATTTAATTAAAAGCTTAATATAAAGCTAATAAAAGCTATAAAAAGCTTTTTTTTTAATACTTTCTTAAAATGTTGAACCATCAATAATAAATAATAAACAGTAAAATTTTAATTCCTAAATATAATTGTATTTTCATTGTAATTATAAAATTGTGAAATAAGTAAAAAATAGTTATAAAATATATTATTATTAATATCAAATAGTAATTAAAATGAAATAATAAAATATATTATTACTAATAGTGATACCTAATAGTAGTAATATTATATAAGTAAAAAAGGTATATTTATATTTATTTATAATAGTATATAATTCCTAATTTTTTAAATAATAAAAGTTTTATCTAAGCAAATCAAAATTTGTATGTTTTAAATGAAGATACCTAATGTTTATAGTCTAGAGAAATACTCTCTTATCAATTGTTGTCTTGCACAACCTTCTTCATCTATTACTTCATGATTAACATTGATTATTTCATTTGGTGGTAATACTACGTCTATGAGATCAGGGGCTTCTAAATCATTGTTATCGCATGCAATGTTATGTAATATAGAACAAGCAACAATTATAGCTTGTGATGTAGTTAGCTTCAAGCGTAGACCAAGAGATACAATTGGGAATCTACGTTTAAGAACTCCATATGTTCTTTCTACTGGATTTCTGGTTCTAATTATTGACTCGTTGTACAGCTCTTCAATATTTCCCCTTGGATTTATAAAAGGAGTCACAATATGACTACTATTTTTATATCCACTATCTGCAACAATTAAGCTATTTCCCCATTTACCATTAACCAATTGACTGTAAATATTTGAATTTTTGAAAATTGTTTGATCATGGCAAGATCCTGGCCAGCGAGCTACAATGTCCATTATTTTTAAATCAGGCGAAACAACTGTTTGGACGTTCAATGAAAAATATCCTTTTCGGTTTCGAAAATACTCAGCATTATGACCTCCTAAAATATTATTATAATTATTATTTTATGTGATACATAAAAATATGTATCTGCTAGTAAAAAAGAGTAAATTTGTTTTTGCAACATCATAGGCAGTAACACCCTAGGGCCTAGGGCATTAAAAAATAATTATTGAGGAGGTGTTAGTACAGATGTTTTATTGGTGATTAAGATACCAGACTTCCACCTATGTATAGCATTACAATATAAATTCTTTTTATATGAAGTTAGTAATAATAGTTAATAATAATCAATAACCTGGGCTTTGAATTCAAATATGTGTGCAATCTATTGCACCTATAGCTCTCGGAAATCTAGCAATTGTGTAAAAACATCTCTGTAATGTATACACTTCTTCATCTGTAGTTGGCATACGAATAAATTGATGACATAGGCTTGCAATAGCTGTGCTAACAGTACGAACAATTACACATGCAGAAGATTTACTAACACCGAGAAAGTCACCAGCAGTAATAAGAAAACTTCCTGATGCATAGAATCGCAGTGTTAATAATAATTTGTCTATGGGTGCTATTGCACAATTCCTTTAGAAATAAAGAGAAATTAAAAAATTAAAGATTATTAATTGGAATTGTATAGACCGATTCCAACATGTATAGTAGATTGCCATTTAAAAATAGTAAGGTGTATCATATTGATGTGAGATAATTATAAATAAATTTAGAATGGTGTAATGAATGTTGGTTTAATACTTGAAAATACATGTAAACTTATATTTTAATTTCATAAATACAACATTTATTTTTACCTTACTATTTTTGTACAAAATAGGAAGTACCTACAATTATTTTTATATTTTATTTGTTTGAAGCAACTTTTTAATTTTTTTATCCAAACTTACCATTGGTTTTCTACAGATATATTGTCCGTTATTAATTCTAAAACTTGTTCAACAACAACTTTAGAAAGTCTAAACCTTATCAAAAAATCATGATCATCCCATTTTATCATATGATTAATTCTATCTCGTACCGTGTAAGGTCTTCGACGATAATTAATAAACTCTAATATTTCGTCATCGTCGTCATCAAATAAAAGATTTGGCTGAATATTCATTATATTATAATAGTTATTTATTCTAAACAAAAATTTAGGTCAGGTACCTACACATAAAATTTATATATTTTGAAACAAAGTTGTACAATACAATCATATAATGATGAGGTAGTTTATTTTTTTAATAATAATATAATAATAATGTATAAACTCTATGTTTTAATCCTTCAGTTAAACATTTAACTAGTAGAAAAAGTAATCGATAACTTAACCAACACTTTATCCTACAGTTATGTTTAACCATTAAGGCCTTAGGGCCGGTTTTTCAATTGTTATAGTAACTGCCAGTTAGTTAACTTTCAGTTAATTTAAACCATCAGTTAAAACGCCGGTTAAAAAGTGCACTGTTTATCAAGTCAAATTGATGTGCCAGTTAGTTAACTAGAGGTTAATCGTAAAATCAATATACCTTGCGAGTGGTCATACTGCAAAAAGTGTATTATCTTAATACATCTGTCTATTATCAATAGTATAAACGAGTTAACGAGCATAATTATTCAAAAAAATTTGAATGTGTCCGTAACTACTAACTCGTAAATGCTAGTAATTTACATTTGAAATTTACTGTCTATAATTGTTGTTATTTTATTTTAAAATAAGATTGTTTGTTTTATTTAATTGTTAAATAAAATATAAAATGAGTGGTTTAAGTAAGAGAAAACGTTCGAATAACTTCAGCTTTACAGAAAAAGAACTGTTATTAAAAATTGCTCTTTCTAGGAAAACAGTGTTGATTACTACTATGTACATTACCTGTCTGTATTTGAGGATATTGTAGGGCCAATCATATTTAATATCATCATAACAGTTTCTTTAGATAATCTAAAGCGATTTTTAAAATCTAGTTCATCCCAAGTCCTAAAAATGATCAACCCTAGTTCGTACAGTATACGGTATACGTTGATAATTTAAATATTCTTGAAATTCAACGTCATCGTCATAAAAAAGTATTTCATTTTCGAAATTCATAGTTGTAACTTGTAAGTAAGTATCTGAATTCAAATTATAAAGAAAAAATAGAAGTGAATGTGAAACGTATTGAAGTGTACTTGCGAAAATTATCACAATCAATAATAATTATTAAATTAACTAACAGTTAAAAAGTTAATCGGAAGAAATAGTAGTGGTTAGTTTAACTATCAGTTAAACCTGATGGTTAACTTAACTGGAGTTCCAAAAACAGTTTAACTGGGACAACGTATTAACTGGCAGTTAAATTCTACTAACTGCCAGTTAAAGTCAATTGAAAAACCGGGCCTAAGCCAACATTGCTTTATCCAAAAAGGATATTAAGAATATTATTAAGATTTTTGCACATATGAGGTTTTAATAAATTTCTTATTCTGGAACACCACATAAGAGGTTTGTGGTTGACACATAGGAGGTTCATAGTTGTGTATATTTTTTTCTTTGCAAGAGAGAGATTTTTTGCCTATATTATTTCAACTCTACAAAGTATAAACTCGCTGCTATAATATTATTTGTTGTAAGATAATAATGAACCTTTAAAAAGTATATTAATAAACATATTAATTTAATTATTATATAGATCTATAATATTACCAGTCAGGTTAACTAATAGTTAAGATTGTAATACCTAAGAAGAAACTTACCTACCTCAATATGCATCAATAACTAATAGCATTCTATAAATTATAAAAATATTAGATCAAATTTGACCCTTGCTAAATATTCTGTAATAGGTATCTAATAAAGATACAGGAAACTAAAAATGTAGTTATAAATAAATATTAAATACAATATGGTTATTTAATAGATTTTATAATTAATTACAATTTTTTAATTACAAATTATAAAATAAAAATAAAAAATAACAGTTAAGTACATACTTTTAAGTTAAAAACTTATAACTAATAATAATAATGCACATAGATTTTTATGTTTAAATATTTATCAATCTTTATAATTACCTAATATAAACAGTAACAATTTTAAACTAAAAAATGTAATAATTGACACGGTACGCTATAAAGAAGAGGTTAGGTAGTAACCAAAAAACGCGGTGATTGGCCGTTACGAGTGACGTACTCAATAGACCTTATTAATAATATTATTCACGGTCTATAGGTGGTTCATATGCTGTAGACGCATACACATTTTTTATTATAATTAAACTATAATATGAATGTGAATATATTTATTAATAATGTAATTATTTAATAAATAACCAATTTATTATGTAAATGTCGCATCCATTAAGTAAAATAGTTATATTCTGTGGTGAAATCAACAATTTCATGAACTGGATGTCCAGTTAGTGAAATTCACCAAGCTCAGCTATAAGAGGGTGCAGCAATATTTAAATACACAAAAAAATGCATATATATGTAAAACATATATATACCTGCATTGTATATATATTATTGTTGCAAATATATTTAATTATTATTTATTTTTAATTTACAAAAATACAAAACAATTTATTGAGTGGAAAAGATGGTAATTCTAATGTAGGTATATAATATTAATCAATTATCATATTTTATGACATTAATGACATTATTTAAAAAAAAAAAAGTAGGTATAAAAAAAAGATTTTTTCTTCTCTATAATTTTAACAAAATACATTGACAAAAATAATTTAAAATTTATTTCACAATTTTTTTCATTTTTTTAGATAACTTTCTTTTTTCTATTTCTTTTTTTATTTTTTATTTTCACACTTTATTCTAATGAATATAAGTCTTAACCACTTTTTGCATTGCTTGATTTTGGCAATGTAATCGTCTAAATATCATTCTTGACAACCTTGATGATAATATATTCTTGGATTTGAAAACAGAATATTTAGATAAAAGGAGACTTAACATTTTTTCAATTTTCCTTACCATTGACAACCAATTGGATGATGGAATTGAAAGACCACCAAACGACAAATGACTAAGGCATGACGGCATTTCTAAGTAATTGTAGTCTGTATGAGTATGCTGTACTTCAGCAAGATCAGGAAAATCTCTTTTGTATTTTCTGGCAACCCAACCAGCAAGATATTCGATTCCATCTTCTTCTATTATATTCTCAGTATCATTAGTTCTTGGTGATGCTATTGATTCAAATGAATAATCTAAATTTTCCTCTGGAACTGTTTCAATTGGCAAGGTCACTTCAGCAGTTTTGACTATTTTGGCAGTGAGAAAGTCATCTGGATCAACTTCATAGGTATTAAGGCGCGTCCACACCTGAGCGTATTCATGGTGAGCATACATGCTCACATTAAATTGTTTACGATGAATTTGTATGTGGACGGTAAAGTGAGCAAATTCAAACCGCGCAAACGTGATCGCGATCCATGCTGAGCACGAGCCACTGACTGTCGGTCTCCTGGCCATGCTCAAAGGAAATCGGCGCGCGAGCTCATAGTGTGCGTTGTTCAATTTGGACGTAAATAAATCTGCACACAGCGCTCAGACCGCTCACGATCCTGCAGAGACATGTTTCTACAAAACCAAGATTTGTTTCTGGTTGGGACTTTGGGGGTCTTTTTAAGTTTATGTTTATTCATTACGAATAATTACTGACAACTGTAAACATTACAACTACGTATTTAAATAATTCAGATAGGACTACTAGTATTTTATATTAAATAATATGGAATGGTCCAAGGAAAGCTGTTTAAATTTAATAAATGAGTACCAAAAGTACCCAGTCTTGTGGAACCCAAAAGATTTAATGTATTTTTCTAAAAACAAAAAAATTGACGCTTGGGCACAAATTGGCCGTAATTAAAATATCGACACGGAAGAAGCAAAAAAAAAAATGATAAGTTTATCGGGATCGTTTCGCCGAGAGAAGGCCAAAACTAAAAACAGCTTTGGAACAGGGAAAGGTAAATTGTATTTAGTTATTTTAGTTTTTATGAAATATAAAAATATTTTTATTTGATTTAATAAATTATAAATACATATTAAATAATAATATACTTATATTAATTTACGTTAAAAATTATAAGGCCGAAAACAGATTTATGCCTCAAAATGGTTTGCGTATGAAAGTATGCAATTTATGAACGATAGAGATGATCCACGTCCAAGTATTAACACTTCAAACACTTCAAATGAAAATATTTCTGATGATGTAAGTACAACATTTATCACCTATTCATATTTTATGATTGAATTTTTTGATGAAAAATAAGACTTAATTAAAATAACATGAACTAATAAATACTGATTGCCGATTGGCTTTACTAAAATAATCATATTATTATTAACAAAAATAATAGTTTAGTTATAATAATATAAGCCATAAGGTACTCACATAATACATATTAAGTAATAAGTATACAAATTAATACTAAGAAATTTTTTTTTTTACTAGATAAAAATGAATGAGACATTACTGTTATTATTAATGATAAATTAATATAATATCAAGTGTTCCTATATAATACAAATTAATTGAAATAATCAAATAAATAAGAAACCTTTTGATACATTTTTTTAATGATTCCATAAATATAATTTAAAACTATATTAGGTAAACGTTTTTATTTATGCATAATCATTTTGCCATGGGACACATCCTGTAGTCATAAAGTATTGTGCATAAGTGTCACGGATATCTTTGGATGATAGTGTCGATCTTCGTGGAATATTTCTAATTTGATTCATCGTTGACACTCCTGCTTCTCTCCAAGTTCCTTCTACTATTGATCCATTTACTTCACGATCCAATGATCCATGTGGTGTATATTTATTTTTAGATGCTTTACTTTTCCTTAAGAAATTGTGCAAATGAACGATAGCCATAACAATAACTTGCGCTTTTTCAGGCTCTAACAGCATAGGTTTTCTGAGTACACGAAAAACTGATGATGAAATACCAAAAACATTCTCAACTACCCTCCGAGCTCTACTAAGTCGATAATTAAATATTCGCTCCATTGAACCTTTACCATAGTTGCCAGAGTAAGGTTTCATAATGTTATCATTCAACGGGAATGCTTCATCAGCCACAAACACAAAAGGAAGTTCTTTTTCTATTCCCGGTATTGCTGATGGCGTTGGTAAATTTAATGTTTGAGCTTCCAACATTTTACAAAGCTGTGAATGCTTAAATACACCTCCATCAGATATTCTGCCTTGTACTCCAACGTCAGCAAAAATAAAATTATAATTAGCGTCTACCAAAGCAAATAAAACGATACTAAAATGTGACTTATAATTAAAGTAATCAGTCCCACTTTGCACTGGAGCCTGTAAAACTATATGCTTTCCATCCATCGCTCCGATACAATGTGGAAAGTTCCATACATTTTCGTAATCCTTGGATATTTCCAACCATTCTTCTTCAGTTGTGGGTAGCTGAAATGTTAAATTTTAAATACTTAGATCTTTTAAACTTTAAAGTTGTTATACATAGAGGCCAGAGGGAATAATTTTAATCATGTACTCACAGTTAAAACAAGTTAATTTGGTAAAACATTATAAAAAAATTAATTTAATATTAGTAAATTTAAATTATTTTAGATTCTGAGTGAAGTGATGAATATTGTATTGATATTACAATGATTTGTTGTTTTAAAAAATAAAAAATAAAATGTCTAAATTATAGGCATGGATATTTTATATTTTTTCTGGGGACAATTTTTGAACTATTAATATTATAAAATTACTAAAGAAATAACTAAAATTGTTATTCTTAGTATTCAATAAGTAATTTCGTAGAAGTTTAACTTAAAATAACTTTAAAAAAAACTGAATTTATGTATATATTTTAGATTTTTCGATTACAGAATTAAGTACTTAAGTGCAACCTTGTTTTACATTTTCAATTCTTAGGTATAAAAGTTGTTCATTTTATAACTTTTTAACAACAAAATAGTTTGTACATTTTCAATTTTATAAATTATGTCAAAATTTGAACTAAAAATCTTATAAAAAAAGCACAAAGAAAATGGAAATTTTTGCGCAAAATCAGTTTTTAACAAAATTGAATTTGGTTTTTAGTGTAACTCTAAAACTCATCACCGTAGATACATTAAATCCTCACTGAATGTTTATATTAGTACTTTCTATACACGATAAAATATTTTGATTTGATTTGAACTGTTTACGGACATTTTCAGTTTCAATTTTTTTTTCGTCAGGTCAAAAAACTTGAAAATTTAATACAAGACTCCGAATATATTGTTATAGTGATATTTGGAAAATATTAAAAATCAAAGGTTACAATATTATTTTATACCTAAATAAGCATTTGAATTTCAAATCTTGACAAAATACGTAAAAATTACGAAAATGTGCAAATTATTTTGAGTTAGAAATTCATAAACATTTTTCTTTTTAAATATAAGATTTGAAAATGTCATAGGTACAAGATATCTCAAAAGTAAGTCTACCTTTATCAAAAAAAAAAATGTTTAAAAGGAAGTCAAAATAAATGTTTATGAGCGTTTGAAATTCTTAATTTTACAACATTGGATATTCACTCGATTTCTCATGTAGCGATTTTGTTATGTTGTTATTATTCATAACGAATAACTGTACATTCATAAAAATTTCACTGAATGTTTATATTTTTATTTTCTATACAGTATACACCATACAATTTTGAAAATATTTTGACTCTTTTTGAGCTGTTTACGGATATTGTCAGTTTTCATTTTTTTTAGTTTTTTATCTATAATTGTCTATAAAATGTTATTTGTATGGGAAAAAATTCGTGAAAATTTAATACAAGGCTCCTGATTTATTATTACAATAGAAATTGAAAAATATTAAAAATACATAGGCACAGTTTTTTTTTTTATAAGTATTTAAAGTTCAAATTTTGACAAAATTTACCAAATTTAAAATGTAATAATTATTTTGTAGTTAAAAATGTATAAAATGTTTAATTTTTATATCTAAGGATTGAAAATTTAAAATAAGGTTTCACGTAAATAGGTTGTATATAAATTACTTTATTCGCAATAATATCATCAAATATATACTTAGTAATATCATAGGCTGACTGATATATTTTTGAATTTTTTAGAGCCATTTAGATAACTTGAATAATTAAAACGAAGAAGAAATACAGAGTTTAGCACCAATTTCAAACTCTGTAACCAATGATGACATTAGTGAAGAACCTGCAGCTTATCTGAACAATGGTTTAGACGATGTGCAAGAAACGTCTACATCTAATGTGCACAAGCCTTCAGTTAAGCGTCCGAGAAAGAAATATAGCACTTGTGATGATTCCAGACTGGAGGAAGCATTTACAATTTTGAAACAGTCTGCATCGTCGCAACAACAACAGCCGTTGAAGGGAAGTGTTATATTTGGCCAACATGTAGCTAGTAAACTAGACACATATACACCAAAGACCAGAGCTTACGTAGAACATTCTATAAACAGCATTCTTTTTGAAGCTGACATAGGCAGGTTTGAAAATTATTTTCAAAATTTGAACCAACCTGCACCATATTACCAAAATCCAGCCACTCCTCAATATTTTAACCAACCGGCATACTATCAAAATCAAGGCACTCCTCAACATTTTAACCAACCGTCAAACTCTCAAAATCAAGGCACTCAGCATTCTTCGTCAAGAGATTCTCCAAATTCTATAATAACAAACCCTGATTCTCCGTATAGTTTACCTGTTTTATCTAATCCTCCTACCTTAAATCCATCGTCTAACATTTCTACTACTACATCTGTATCACATTCATTATTAGAATCTGATCAAAATGAAAATATAGATTTTGATAGTTTATACTGCTAGATTAATAATTTTATTTAATTTTTTATTATTTTATAATTTTTTTGATTCGTCATCAACCGAGTAGGTAAAAACCTTAAGTAAAGGATTACAATTTTTTTTTTGTTTGTTGTACCTATATTTTTATTTCAATCGATCAATTTATATTCTAAAAATACCTATATGCATATTAAATTTTGTTTTTGAAAGAAATAATTTTAATCTGTCATAATAAAGTTGTTGTAGTTTGTTTGAAAGAATAATATTTTATATTTTATTAAATTAAAAAAAAACATTGAAAAGTAAATATTTTAATTTATTTAGAATTATTTATAAAAGTATTTATAATTACCTTGACATATTCTTTCAACACTTCAATAAGTGATTGGCAAACCTCAGGAACTATTAATGAAATACATTGCTTTGAAATTTTAAAGGCTTGTATACGATTCACCCGTTGCTAAGAATCTCAGTGTCACTGCAAGTCTTTCATTAACTGGAATTGGTTCCCTGAAATGAGTAGTCTGCTTTGCTATTATTGGAGTAAGTAGCGATACAAGGTGTTCAAAATCCTCTTGTGACATTCTTGCAAAATTTTCAAACTGACCAGAGTCTGTATGAAAGTTTAAATCACGTATCATACTTGTGCCATTGTATATTTGTCTTGATCGAAAAATTTGAGTTGTCCACCATCGTCTCTTTTTAATACTTGACTGTTTTTTTTTTGTTAATAAATGCATAACAATATAAGCGGCGCTGGCAATTTGTAAATTGTTTGCCATTATTGTGCTAAGTTATAAAAAAATTTGAACATAAATGGCAACTACCAGTGGCCAGTTCCTACCAGCGAATGACTTGAGCACCAAAATCGTTGAGCATTGCTCACCTAATTTATGACTCACATCGGTGCGACGTCTATACTGAGTACACACAGCGATCGCGATATTTTGCTCACTGTAATTATGCTCACGGTGCTCATCTCTAGCATGCTCAGGTGTGGACGCGCCTTTAGAATTGTTGATTATCACCCCAGGATTTTTTCCTAAAATAATCATTCGTAAACGATATAAAGCGTCTAGTGGTGTAGGGTGATCATTAAGGCCACCACAACATCTTATTTGGGAAAACAAGCTTTCTAAAGCATCTTGATTGAGGCGATGCGTCAAAATAAATTCAATGTCATATTCTTCTTTCAGGTATAGGTATAATTGTTGGAGGGATTTTACCCTTTTGAAACGTTTGGAGACCACTTATTTTATTCTTTGGGTTAAGACATTTCAATGTAGTAAACTCTTTAATAATATTATTTAGAACTTCATTTTGTAGTGGTAATTCAGTACCGTATGGTTTTTTATTTGGTGTTGCAGCGTTAAGTACATATGAATTCATAATATTGAACCAAAAATTAACCAACAAAATAAATTTTCCAGTGCTTAGAGCAACCGGTTTTCCTTTGGTATTTACTTCTGGTAAGTAATGACAAAGTACTGTGCCCACTTTCCTTGACATTAATTGGGCAGCCCTCTTAACATTTTGTCGTAGAGTTCCTCTAATTGTCAAATGATCCTCACTAAGTTGATGTAGTGAACTTACTTCTGTACTGGACATTTTTAATAACTGTGTAACTGGATATTTGGATAAAATATCTTTATTTTCCAAATAAATGCTGTATCAATAAACCAATTTCTGATGAGTTTTAAAAGATGAGGACTATCAGCAAACATAAAAACTTTGCTATTGGTAATGGGATGTTGAAATTCTGTGTGTTCGGTAGAAATTCCCAATTCTTTACACAACCCAATATTAGCTCCACCACAATCATGGACACAAGCAACTGTTAAATATCCAGCGTTGTATACCTCAGTTATGATTTTAAATAACAGTTCTTTAGTAATTTTCTGATCAAAACCTACATATATGGGTTGTTTCCATTTAGCAAACAAACCACGTGCCATAACCACTTGTAACTGACTGTGTGGTCCAATAATTTCATCATTTTTTTTATCATATTCATAAGTTGAAGCAATTTTGACCTCATCAAATTGAATCACACATAAAGAATCTCTTTTGGTCGTATCAATTGAAGCAACTTTCATGAGCCTTAGTACATCCTTTAATAAACCATGTCTTAAATCAATTTTGGTGGCCCATGATCGGAGTGTGGACAATTCAGGAAGAGGAAAATTCATGTTCTGTCGTACAAATTTATATCCTCTTACACCCAAATACCTCAAAGTAAAAGCTTGAGAAATCTCATTTGAAGTCCACTTCACTTTCTTTTTTTTCTTCAAAATTATATTTATTTGGTTTTGAGAAAATATTACACTAAGGCATTCAAGAACTTTGTTATCCACTTCCTCAGAATTGGTTTTTTTCAGTGAATAAAGTTGTTTTGTCAAATTCTTTGATTGTAAATTTGATTCTTTTAATTGACCTGAAATGAATGCTAGTTTTTCTTTTAGAGCGGTTATTTGTGCTGTTGATCTTGTTAAATTTTCTTGTGCTAAATCATTTTCTCTGCTCAGGATATCTGAATTTATATTCACAGAATGGTTATAACTGAGCGATTCATTTGATGTAGACAGTTGTTCATAACAATCATTACTTTCTACCTCCTGAGAACAAAAATACATCTACAATTAGCATTATATTTCTATTGAAAATCAATATAGGTAATGTTCATGTTTAATAGGTCAATTACAACTATTTGGATAGGGCTGAATGCCTGTATATTTAACTTAGTATAGCACACACACAGATTAAAAACCAATCATTACCTTCTTTTTTTCAAGTATTATTCTATTGCTTATTGATCGAAAATTTCTTTTTTGAATCCTTTTCAAACGATTTTCAGAACCTTCAGAAACTTTTTCAATTACTGATAGCTTTAAAGATGGTACAGCTAAAAAATAAAAATAATTTATGGATCAGTACTAAGACTTAATACTTCACAGTCAAATTTAATGAAAAAAAAATGTACTAATATCAGTTGTTTTAAAAAGATGTTCTTTATAAACAATATATTTTGGCTTTTTAAACTTACTAGATTTTTTAAGTTGTCTTTTTACTTGAATATTCAACAGTTCAGCTTTTAAATTTCGTTCAAAGTCATCTGGAAGAAAATGTTCTGAACAAATATGAGCTGATTTTGGATTAAAACTATCTGCTCGTTTTGTTTTTGAAATCCAAATCTTCAAGCGTTGAGGTTCGTTATATTTTGGGAACGTATGGAATGAAACATCACTTGATAAAGCTTTTGTATCTTTTAAATTATTTTTGCAACATGTAACTGCACACATTGTTCCAGGCATATTGAAACAACTAAAAATATTTGTTGGCGTATTAAAAGATTTAATAATAAATTAACTAGGTATTCAATTAATAAGTATAATTTTGTAAGTATTATTAGAGCTGCAAATAATAATCATAAGTAATAACAAATAGTTATAATATAACAACAACTAATAAAATATAGCATTTATTTGTCTACTTTATTTCAATATAAGTTAATCATACATTTGTTATATCTAAAATAAAAGGTTATCTTATCTACTCTACCTAAAATTTTAAATGTTTTATAGGTAATTAACTTTGACATTATGTATATTAGTATAATACAAATTATAAATAATTGTTTGAAAAATTATTAAAATCAGGAAAAAATGTATGTATTATATTTTATACCTATACATATATATATATATATATATATATATTATATTAACTTTATCTTGTCTTTGAGTGGTACAGCGAATACTGTAAGATAGACAGGCATATAATAATATACTATAATAATATTGATAGTGTATTGGTACTTTTATTAAACTTACGGATATAATGTTGATTATTTGTAAATTCGTGAAATAAAACAACAATTTGACGAATAAATAATATGTGTGAAACGTAAAACCATAGAAAAGAAATAAAGAATTTAGAATACTGAACGGAACACTAAAAACGCACAACGCAAAACACAAAACGCAACGACCATTTGATTGTGGTCTATTGCCTACGTCACGCACAAGTCCACCCCGCACCGTTGTTATCAGTTCCTCGCCCTACACTGGCTAACCTCTTCTTTATAGATCTTGGTGGCAACCAGTACTAAGGACAGGCACCACAGCGACCGGTCTACACTTTTGTCAACCGCCTCTACGAGCTACGAGCGTGACATCGCCAACTCTCTCACCACGCCACAAAGGCACAAGGTGGGACTGGGAGGCAAGTCGCGCAAGACGAGTACCGGCCGCCGGCGGCTCTCTCTCGCAATTCGACCGTCACCACGACTACTCGTCGCTCTTTAATTTTGTCTTACGACGCGAACACCATCCGTACGACAACCACTTTATCCATCGTCATCATTTGTAATATCGATATATATATATGTGGTCCATCCACCTGTCGGATAAATTAAATCAAAAACCAACTTAATCTTCCGAAAAATATTGTGTTGTGCGTTATTTTTACTTAACTCCACACCACAAGGTACGGCCGGCCTACCGCGGCACCATACCAGAATCCACACCACCGTAGCCGCATCATAAAAAGAATAAGTAAGTATAACAATCTTTTTTCTGTATTTCTGTTTACTATCAATATCAGGGACAATCATTTAAACCAGTTTTCTTCCACGATTCATTATCTAAAATGAAGATGTAGGCCAAATTAGCCAATAGGTATTTATATAATTTTGTTTCAATATTTTTAGTATTTTATAATTGTATTATAACAGTAAGCTTAATTTTAAATTTAATTACACTTACGTTATTGTTGAAGATTCCGCTTTCCAGCCATCAAAAATTCAAAAGGAAATAAAAATTAATATGAAAAGTGATCGATAATAAAGATTATTTTCCCTCCTATTAAACACCAGCTGATATAAATCCAATGTGCGAAATTCGTACAAACTAACCGTGTGACAAACCTCCGCTTTGTACTTGGGAGGTATATCAGATAACAATTTCTATACAGCTGACATAGGAGGTTCATTTTTTTGAAGAATAAAAATGTTATTATAACACCAAAAAGCTTGAAGTATTTATCACTAAATGGCGTACGTGTGGTAAACACCTTAGGGTAATCAGTGTACAAAGAGCCAGTAATCATAGGTAATCAAAGGTATTCATAGGTAATCATGGGTAATCATGGATAATCTTAAGTAATCTTCATGAGTATTACAAAAAAAAATTATTTTATAATTAATGAATTCATCATAATGTTTAATTCAAGGTTTAGTTTCAATCATTGGTGATGATAAGGTTATGTTAGCTACAATGCGCTGTTGGTTTTTACTTTTTATTATGATTATCGAACGTATACTGTTCTATGCCTCTATGGTATTACAAGAGTTATCACCTCGGTTATCACATACCAAATAATATATTATTTAATATTAGTAGGCAGATGTCACTTTAAACTCTGAAGAGAAGTACTTGGCCTTGCCCACTTTATTGTGTAACAGCGTACTCTCATTAGTCCATTATTACCTCGATATTATTACATTTTTGTATTTAGATGCGATCGGGCGCGATACGATTGCGCGCGGTCCTTATCAGCGGTACCTTTTTAAGCGTACGATTGCGCGCGCTATATTATTTTAACTTTTAAGCAACGTTGCCAAATATATAGGTCCATGGTAAATCCGTACGATACCATAGTAGATTATAGTAGATTATTTATTACTTATTTTTGCCGATATCAGACAAACTTCCCATCACTAAGAATGAATTGGTTATATTATCAAAAATATTATCTTTATTGTAAATGTCCATATATGTACGAATATACCTATAACTATAATCGTGCATGATGTGACTATATCAATTAACTATCAGTTGTGTTCGGTGTTTGAATTGTGTCACAGTGTAAAATTTTGTGTTGATTTTTTAAAAATGGAAAACGAAATTCGACGTATTACATCGGAGAGGGGAAATGATTTGTTGCTAGTCAATGGGCACAAATTTAGGTGTATCAGGCAGCGGGCTGATGGATATGTAAGATGGAGGTGCTGTAAAAAACAGTGTACGTCCACAGTGTTGATGACGATTGATGATTTAATTATAGAAAATGATAGTGAACATAACCATCCTGTTGATCCGATACAAAATATTGATCGACAAGTATTGAGAGAAAGTTGCAAGCGAAAAGCTACAAGTAATATATCTACCCGACCGATAAAGTTAATTAGAAATTAACTTATGAATAGCGTAAGTACTGAATTAGAACATAAAGATTTAAAATCGGTTAGAAAGGCAATGTATATTGAACGAAGAAAAAATCTCCCTCCCTACCCAACATCTTCTGAAGATGCAATTACAAAAATAAATGAATTTCAAGATGCAGATTTTTTAATGTTTAGAGGGGAAAAGTTTGTACATTTACCCGAAGATTCTACTTTTATTTGTTTAACCACTGAAAAAAATCTTCAATGTCTGACCAGTTGTACCGATGTATTTACAGACGGAACATTCGAATATGCTCCAAAATTTTTTTTGCAATTATACACCTTTCATGGACTCATGGTTATAAAAATGGCATTTACGTACCTTTGGTGCATTTTTTTTTAAATGATAAATTTAAAAATACATATATTAATGTATGGAAGTATTTAATCAGTATATGCGAAAAACAATCACTTTTTTTTAAAATTAAAATACTTCACATTGATTTTGAAATTGGTGCTATCGAAGCAGTAAAAGAAGTTTTTCCGGCTGTACAAATTAAAACATGCCGTTTTCACTTGGGACAAGCTTGGTGGCGCAAAGTAAGTTGAATCAAATAAAAATATTTTTAAAAATTACAATGTCAATAATCAAAATCAATTTTCAGATTAATGGTGAATCAAAATTAAGAACGGCATATAACGATAAAAATAACGATTTACCAATATGGCTCAAATCATTTTTCGGACTTTCTTTTATCGCTCCAGATGATGTCGAGGATGCTTTAGTCGAACTTATAAGTGTATGTCCAAATATTTCAGTTGGACGACTTTTTTCGGATTATGTTTTGGAAACGTATATTGAACAGGGTTGTTTATTTCCACCTATTTTATGGGCTGAAACACCATCATCAAATCCTAGGTAAATATTTACTATAGTGCGGCCAGCGAAACTAGGCGGGTGGCCGTCGCGCGCCAGGTGGCTGTTTTCATGCAAACCAGAGGTTCTAAAAGTATTGCTTATTAAATGCATAACAGCTGCATAGCTTGAACAGTTGTGTTTTAGCTGTTTTATGAAAAATGTTGTGTTACCTTACAACACAAATATTTTATTATCGTATAAGGCACATCCATAGACATAATAATATGTCGTACTACAAACTGGTGAGGGTGAGGGTAACCGTTTAGCGCGGCGTTTTTCTATTCAAACTGGCCATCTGCGCTGGCGACCGCATTCCATTGACCTTATCGTACTTATTGTTATTTTATTGAAAGCAAATTGTGTACAGAAACAGTTTTTTTCATAATGTGTTAGTCTGCGATCCTCTGCCCTTCTTGCATGTGTTGTTTGGTATCGTTTGAATTTAATGTGATTTTTTCATACGGCTGTTTTAATATTGTACAATATTTTAATTTTTTTGTGTGTTTTTTTACTAATCGTTTGTATAAATTATTTTTTCGAAATGTCAATTCGACCCGATATACATTCCCAAACGAAAAACACAATATACAACGTGTATATATTTTTTAAAAACTTAGCTAAGTGCAAAGACAAGCCGGAATTGGCCGATTATTTTCGACAATCACAGGAGAGGACGGCCGATGCTTGTGCTGTAAGTCTGAGAACTGTACAACGGATATGTAATGAAAGCAAAACAACAGGAAATCAAGATGAATCATTATGCGTCGTAAGTCCTAATGACCTTAAATTTCAATCACCACGAAAAAGGTATAGTCGTGAGAAAACTGTCACTGAATTAGATGATTTTGACAATGAAGTGGTCAGAAGAGTTGTCCATAGCTTTTACGACAAGGGTGAGTTTCCAACAAGTACTAAAATATTATTGGAACTGCGTGAAAAATTAAATTACCGTGGATCAAAATCGTCGGTGAAAATAATTTTAAAACAACTTCATTTTAAGTACAAAAAATGTAATGACGGTCGCAAATTTTTAATGGAACGGTCCGATATTGTAGCTGCGCGCGTTAATTCAACATTCAAAATTGCAGATGTCGAGACACTTGCGCATAAAGAAATCGATGCAGTTACTCCGGACGATTGGGCAAAATGTGGAGAACATTGCGTCAAGATTCAGGAGGAAGACTATGTCAAGGCGGGACTAAGGGATGAGATATTAGAACCGATAATATTGACCATTAATCCGGACGAAAGCAGTTCAAGTGAAGATGAAGATGATGAGGACTAGATTATTTTGATTCTGAAAAATAATTTTTATGTAAATATCATTATAGTAGTTTTAAATTGCATTACTTAGTTATTAGTTTTTAAATGTACATACATATATAATTGCGTAAAAAATTAAAATATTAATATTATGTTTTAATATTATATTATTTACTTGTTAGGGAATGTGATAATTAATAAATAATAAGTTTTACGTACAGAAATATCGTATGTTTAGTTTTTATTACAATTCCGAAGCTTTTAAAATTATTTTACGCGGGAATGTAGTCTTGGAAACACTGACAGAAATTTACCACCAGGCGCGCGACGGTCACCCGCCTAGTTTCGCTGGCCGCACTATAATAATAGTTTTAAAAAAAAATGTGTTAACTATAATATAATATTATTTATTTTTAGGACTACAAACGGGGCTGAAAGTTTCCATAGTACATATAATGCACAGTTTAATAGTGCTCATCCACCAATATTTTTCGTTATAGCTACCCTTATGGAAACTCAGGCAGAATCAGTTACCAAATTATTAACCATTTCCAAAGGTATAATAAAACCAAAATCGAATAAAGAATCAAGGAAAATTGAAAATTTGAAAAATGAACACAAACATTATGTAAACAATAAAACACCAGAAAATTTACTAAAGTATTTGGCCATAGTTGGAAATAGGAATCGGGGGTTTAAAATTTAATTTAAATATTGATTTACGAGTATTATATTTTTTCAATTATTAAATTTCTTTATTTTGTATTATTATTTTTAAAACTTTTTTTATTTTTTAATATTTACGTAAATTTTTTAATTTTTATTATTTAAGTAGTACATTTGGCAACGTCGCACCCAATTTCACGCGCAATCGTACGCCTTTGAGTAATTAAAATGTTGTCTTTTGTTATTCTGGCACTGCGCGCAATCGTATACCTAAAAAGGTAAAACGCGCGCAATCGTACTCCGCCGATATTTAGTATAAAAAACATTATCCAGTTCACAATTTTAAATTTACATTTACGCCTCATTGCAATTTAAAAAATATAAATTTTTGGAGCAAATGGAAATTAATATTTCTGATTTCATTCATTAGAATAGAAAAAAATCTGGGGAAAAAGTAAATGAATCATCAGTATATTAAATGGTTAGGTTGTCTATGAAGTCGCAACTGGTAATGCTAAAGAGAATTTAACTGTAATGTTTACATTTAACGCAGCTGGAGAAACAGCATATATTTTATTATAACCAAAAAATTAAGGTGAAACTTTCAACTCAACTGTTACGTCAGTCAGTAGCCGATTCAATGGAAAAAATAACCTAAAGTTAAAAGAATTTTCGATTTTTATACAAAGTTTATTGAAATATTTAAAAAAGCTTTTGACATTTTAGAGTCAAGGTCAATTAATATTGTATTGTATTGGCAGTAAGAAATTCCTTTGAAAAGATATACTTTTAGGAATATTTCAAATTTTGTTAATGAGTTAAAATGTATATTAAAGGTTTAAGAGTGAAAGAAAATATTAATTATGTTAATTGTAAGTCCATCTTAAGGTGAAAGAGAAAAACTGGTTCATGATATGTTTAAACTCTATGTTGAAATTATACTACACTTTATAGATTCTTCTAAAATTGATTATTTAAAAATGCATAAATTAAGCCAAGACCATTTAGAGCTATTTGCTATTGGTATATTAGAATTGGCTATATTTAATGCCATCTCCGAGATCAATGTGTTCATAGTATTTAGTTTCATCATAATCAATATGTTGTTGGATGGCCATTTCATCCAGCATAAGGGCTCATATACTTGATTACTTGAATTTTGAGCTTTTTTACAATATATTCATCTTATTATAATTACTTATTGAAATATTTTCTATAATATGCATAATAATTAAAACAAAATAATCGATATTTTCTGCGATCTTGATTGTTATGTTAATGTGTGTAGTGTGTACTAGTTGACCCGATTATTATTTGAATAATATTTGAATAATAATAGGTAGGTATATTAACAGAACAATATTGGTGATGGAATAATTATCAATTTTAGGCCTGGAAAAATAACATAATATTATTACAAATGATACATAGCGTGGTAACATGCCCGTAAGTCTTAACCATAGAAATTAAAGAATATCACAGAATAATTGGACGTTTCCCGGGCAATAGGGAATAAGTCCATTTTTTTTTTTATTGAATATTCTTGTAGGTTATTATAATCTACATCGATTGGCATTGGAAAATTAAACGAATTGTAGGTTGTTATTTTTTTATAAATCCTATGAGAAAAAAGGAATAAGTAATCAGTCACTCTACAATTAATAGGAACGGGTTTTTTTAGATTTCTCAAAACAGTGTTTTTGTACTTATTCAATTTACCAAACAATATGATGGGCTAAGATCCTCCACAGGCCTACTGGTGGCCAGATATCCGGTCAACTGTCAACTCTCGTTTGTGACAGCAAGACGGTTGATGCCAACCGCGTGTGTGTTGGTGGCTACTCAGCCCAGCCGTCCCGCTGTCAAAAGGACCACATCTCAAGACCTGTAACGTATCAATGTAACATTCCCCCCCCCATGTCCCTCTCATTTATAACTGTAATATGTTTCTTTTAATTATCATTTTTATTCCTACGCGATATCTCAGGCGGTAACCCAACGGTGGCCAAATTCTCATCATTTTATATTATTATTAAATCACCGTAGGTGATGGCGGGCCTTGTGGGCCGACCTGCGTCGGGTAGAGGGGGGCCAGAACATTTTTCAGCAGTTATTCAAAAAATATTTCAACAAATATTGAAACTGAACCGCCTGAACCAATAGAAAATTACTATTAAAAAAAAATGTTGATATTGATAATATTAAAAAAGTATAGTTAGGTACTTAGGGACTGACGATGTGTACCCAAATTTAGTAGCTTTCACTATAGACCTCTTAGTTGCGCATCCTGCAAACGTTCATTATCTTCAATGCGGTGTTTAAAAGCTTGTCAGAGAACAACAATGAGGCAAAAACGATTTTCAAATTTATTAATATTGAATATCGAAAGAGATGTAACTAATAGTCTTGACACAAAAACAATTGTTGATAAATTTTCAGCAACTAATAGAAAATTAGTACCTATTGATTTTATATTATTTGAAATGTACAATTTGTATTTGAGTAAAAGTTGAATAAAAAAATGTGTCGAGTTATATAATTATTTATAATTTTAATTACAATTTTTTATTTCACTAAATAGTCTTATATGAATTTATTTGTGTAGGTAGTCAGCTGGTATATTAGTTAGGGTTGCCTGTGCTGCTGATAAAATTCCAGCAAAAAATTTACTATAGTTGCGCCTGTGTAAAGCGTGCTAGATAAAACTAATTTTGTTCAAAATTGGATTTGTAATGTCGATTCGTTCACATGGTTATTTATAATTGGGTAGGTACTTAATTTATCATATCATATCAATTATTAAGCATGTTTTAAAATAAATAATAATTGTCAAAAGAGTTATAAAAATGAGGTAAGTTTTTGTAAATGATATGACTTTTTGGTAGGTGGGTGGGCGGTATTAACTATTCTTGAACACCCAAGTGCCCAACTGAAAAATGTAAAATCGCCATTGAGCACGTTTAAAATATAGCGAGTATGTACACAATGATAAAAAGCGAGAACCGCTGTTAGGCAACACGATAAGAAATTGAAAAGTGGTAACATAATTTTCAAAACGTTAACACATTTGAAAAGTATAGCATTATTTTATGTGAAATGGAAAGATTTTGCATTTTGCACATTTCAGAAATTGAAAATTTGACCTCCCCAATGCACCAACGATATTCACTTTCCAATCGAACAAGATACTGAAGTCAAAAATCGAAGCATTATTTCGACTACTTATCGTGTACACAGACACAAACAAAAATAAAAAAAGGTGGGTAAGTGGATGTCGCTCTGCTGTACAGTAGGTCACAAGTGGGTCACTGTATAATGGATGCTATTAAATTTGAATTCAATGATTCAATATCATTGTATAAGAAAAACGATTCTGAGCGAAGACGGTATGTCAGTCTAGGTTTAAGACAAATTATATACATATCTATGGTATTAAAAAAAAATTTACCTTTAATAAATTCCAAATTAATCATATCACATTATCACAATATCCATTAAGTACTTATAACACGTTATACATCAACATCAATAACAAACCCTGATACTATCATAGATATATAATAATACACTTTAGAAGTTTCAAGTAGGTACCCCGTACCCACGAATAATATTATATAATCACAACAAAATAACTAGGTTTTTTAATATGAAATTTCGTCCAAATTTGAACATAAAATGACTATAAAAATAAACTGTGATTGTATATTTTTTAGATTTTTCGGTAAGAGAATTAACTACTTACGTAGAATCTTGTTTTAAATTTTCAATCCTTAGCTATAAAAACTGAACATTTTATAATTTATTAATTACGATGATTAATAATTTTCGAGATTTTGAAAAATTCTGTCAAAATTCGATTTTAAAATGCTTATAAAAAAAAATTGTGCCTATGTATTTTTAATATTTTTCAACTGATATTGTAACAATATATCAGGAGCCTTGTATTAAATTTTTACACTTTTTGGCCCAACAGATAAAACTTAATTGATATTTATAGAAAAAAAAAACTAAAAAAATTGAAAACTGAAAATGTCCGTAAACGGCTCAAAAAGAGTCAAAATATTTTCAAAATTGTATGGTGTATAGGAAACGCTAATATAAACATTCAGTGAAATTTTCATGTATCTACAGTAATTCGTTTTTTAATTACAACAAAAAAAGGAAATTGCCACATGAGAAATCGAGTGAATATCCAATGTTGTAAAAATTTGAATTTCAAACGCTCATAAAAATTTAATTTGACTTTCCAGTAGAGATTTTTTTATTGATAAAGGTAGACAATCTTATGAGTAATCTTGTATTAGATTTTCAAATCTTAGATTTAAAAAGAAAATTTTTACAAATTCTTAACTCAAAATAATTTGCTAATTTTCGTGATTTTTCCATATTTTGTCAATTTTTGAACTTTAAATGCTTATAAAAAAAAATTGTGACTAAGGATTTTTAATATTTTTCATCTGCCTTTGAAACAATATATTAGGAGCCTTCTATTAAATTTTCAAGCTTTCGCAACCAACAAATAAATTTTATTGATATTTCTAGAAAAAAAACTAAAAAAAAAACTAAAAATGAAAATGTCCCTAAACTGTTCAAAATAAATCAAAATATTTTGAAAATGTTATCGTGTATAGAAGATGCAAATATAAACAACCAGTGAAAATTTCATGTATCTACGGTCATTTGTTTTAAAGTTACACCAAAAACCAGAATCGATTTTTTGGAAAACCGATTTTGCGTAAAAATTCCCGTTTTTCCTTAATTTTTATGTTGTTTTTCCCGGCGCTCTTGAAAACTACTGGGAAATTTAAATTTTGACCTCCCCAATGCACCAACGATATTCACTTTCCAATCGAACAAGATACTGAAGTCGAAAATCGAAGCATTATTTCGACTACTTATCGTGTACACAGACACAAAAAAAATAAAAAAAAAAATAAAAAAAAAACAAAAAAAATAAAAAAAAAATAAAAAAAAGAATAAAAAAAAACACACATCATTGTAAAATCAATACATTCATCGTTTCACTCAGAATCTAAAATAAAAAACACACATTATTGTAAAATCAATACATTCATCGTTTCACTCAGAATCTAAAAATAATAAACACCATTGTAAAACCACTAGCTTCCTCGCTCCGCTCAGAATCTAAAATTATCATGATCATAAACATATTAATTATGTTAATAAAATATCACCTATAAAAATATAAAATAAGGTTCATGATCATTATTTACCTGTGGGCAATAATTGAGACTTCTCGTCATTTTTTACTTCGTACAAAGTAGTTTTATTAACTATATCCGTATTAAGATCGGGTTCATCTTGTTTAACCTGACGGAAATTGATGTTCCGCGGTAGTCATGGTTTAGAGGTGATGTTGAGGTGTAGACCAGTAATGCCCAACCTTTTTTGTTCGGCGTGCCACTTTGGTTAATAATCATCTTCGAGCGGGCCACAAATATAAAAGTACGAATAATCCCAATCTTAATCTAATAATAAATATTTGTTATACATATGTGTACATTATATTATTATATGGCGTATATCTTATCTTTTATTGATTATTGAAAAGATTATGGATTGAGGTATACATTGTAGATACATACAACGATCAGTCTGCTTTTCTAAGTGCATAGGTATAAGCGATCGTAAAATTTTTCTTTAAAAATGTCCGACAGAAAAAAGCGTAAATATAATGACGATTGCCGAATTTTTAATGAGAAATGGTCAATAAATTACTTTTTTATTGAAATTAATGGAAAAGCTGTTTGTCTTGTATGCCGTGAAACGGTTTCAGTTATTAAAGAATTTAATATCAAACAACATTACGAAACGACACATCGAGAACAATTTTGCAATTTAAAAGGTAAGCTTTTATTTTCGATATAATTTACTAACAAAAACTTAATGCAGTATGTATTATTTTTAAAGGAGACTTACATATTACTAAATTAGAAGCATTAAAAAAAGATATGTATACACAAAATGTTTTAAATTTATTTAAAAAACAAAATTTCGTTAATACAAAAGTTGTACAAGCAAGCTATAAAGTAGCGAATTTAATAGCTAGTGAAACTAAACCTTTTAGTGATGGAGATTTTATAAAAAAATGTATTTTAACTGCGGTTGATGAAATAATACCAGACAAATTAGAACTACATATTTAAGGAAATAAGTTTATCACGAAATACAATCACCAGGCGTGTTGAAAATATAGAAAATAATATACTTACACAGCTACAGAGTAAAGCACGAGAATTCAAATATTTTTCGCAACCACTAGATGAGAGTACCGATATTACTGATACTGCTCAGTTACTAATAATTATTCGTGGCATTGATAATAATTTTAATATAATAGATTAGTTGGCTTCTTTAGAAAGTATGCATGATCGAACAACGGGAGCTGATATATTTGAAAAAGTAGAACTTTGTCTTCAAAATCTTGGACTTGATTGGGAAAATCTAAGTAGCTTAAGAACAGACGGCGTTCCAAGTATGAGAGGAGTGAATATTGGTTTCTTTGGTAGAGTAAATAAACTTTTAGAATTGAAAAATAATAAATATTAAGCCTCCTATATATACATTGTATTATTCATCAGCAAGCTCTTTGTGGAAAAGTTATAGGTCTCGAAAATGTTATGTCTGTTGTAATAAAAGCTGTTAATTTTATTAAGTCTTACGGCCTTAATCATAGACAATTTAAAAGTTTTCTACTCGAAATAGAAGCTGATTACAGTGATGTGGTGTACCATAACCATGGTTAAGTCGGGAAAGGTTTTAAAAGGATTTTTTGATTTACGAGACGAAATTGATGTATTCATGATCGATAAAGGAAAAGAAATTGCTGAACTTAAGGATAATAATTGGTTGTGGGATTAAGCATATCCTGCAGATGTAACAACACATTTAAATATTTTAAATTTAAAATCACAAGGACCTGGAAAACTCATATTTGACATGTAAAGTAGGGGAGACCGGGGCAAGTTGGCCTCAGGGGTAAATTGACACATAACAAATATAAGTTATACAATTTATGTTGGACAAACTGTAGCACCATCGATGAATCAATCATATGATTACCCCCTATCATGCGTGATAACAAAACTTAACGATTTAATCTATTTCAGTTATTATCAATTTTGTATATTTATCTGTTAAAAGTAATTTTTATGATGCTTAAAAAAAATATATTTTTTTAGAATAAACAACGTATTAATTTAATTTCAACACATCAAAATAAAGATAACAGTACGTACTAATTAATATCATAATTGTTGTGTTAATTAAACATCCCACTTTTTTCCAAAATGCCAAATATTAGAAAAAACCGTTTGGGGTTAATTGACACAAGTAGATCGGGGCAAATTGACACGTGTCAATTTGCCCCATTGTAGAAATTTTCATTTTATAATGATATATTTCCTTATATGTAGGTATTTAGCAATGGTTAGAAATTATAAAAGGACATCAAGTAGAGCAAAAGTACCTATCGACGTAATAAAAATTGCCGTAAAAAAAGTTTTAGTTGACAATATGTCACGCAGAAGTGTAGCACAAGATTACAATATACCGTTTAAAACATTATCACGCTATTGTAAAAAACGTGAACTCTTAGATAACGAAGAAGATCAAATTAACCAGGTTAGTGGTGTAGGGTACAGTAAACATAAACAAGTATTTTCAATATGTGAAGAGGAACAGTTTGCTGCTTATATAAAAAAATCTTCAGATATTTATTATGGCTTATCACCAAACGAAGTTCGTAAGCTAGCATATCAGTATGCATATGAATTGAAAATAAAAAACATTCCTGAAAGTTGGTTGAAAAATAAAATTGCTGGGCCAGATTGGTTTACTAGTTTTAAAAAACGTAGGACTGATTTATCTATACGAATTCCAGAAGCGACAAGTCTTGCTAGAGCATCCAGTTTTAATAGAATAAATGTTCAAAGATTTTTTGATAATTTAAAAATCGTTTTAAGTCGTCATTCATTTGGTCCGGGGGATATATATAACATGGACGAAACGGGTATAACCACAGTACAGAAACCCAATAAAGTTGTAGCTCGTAAAGGTTTTAAGCAAATTGGTCGAATAACATCAGCTGAAAGAGGCACATTAGTTACTTTGGCGTATTCTGTTTCAGCAGCAGGTAACAGTGTTCCACCATATTTTGTTTTTCCCAGAGTTAATTTTCGAGATTATTTTTTATCCAATGGTCCTTCTGGCTGTGCTGGCGGTGCAAACGTGTCAGGGTGAATGAATGAAACCCATTTTGTTGAATATTTAAAACATTTTGTTAGATTTGTGAAATGTTCAAAAGAGAAACCAATATTATTGTTACTCGACAATCATGAATCGCATTTATCAATAGAAGGTCTAAACTATTGTAAAGAAAATGGTATCATTATGCTATCATTCCCACCCCACTGCTCGCATAAGTTACAGCCTTTAGACAGGAGTGTTTTCGGACCACTTAAAAAACACGTCAATACCACGTGTGATTCGTGGATAGTTAATAATCCTGGAAAAACGATGTCTATATACGATATACCTGGTATTATTAAGCAAGCATTACCACTCGCTGCTACTCCGACTAATATTTCATCCGGTTTTTCTGTCAGTGGAATTTATCCATTTAATCCGGATATTTTCACTGAAGTTGATTTTATGCCAGGTTATGCTACAGATAGACCTGAAGTATTAATTGAAGAACCAAATCAACAAGATTGCATTGATTTACCGCCTGATATTTCAAATAATTTTACTAACAATCAACTATTAATAGAAGAACCAGTTGCGTCCACTTCAAATAATTTTACTAACAATCAACTATTAATAGAAGAACCAGTTGCGTCCACTTCAAATAATTCTACTAACAATCTACCAGAAACAGAAGAGCCAGTTGCGTCAACTTCAAATAATTTTACAAGTAGCCCTTTACCTGCCAATCTAAACACATTATCACCTATTATAACACCAGAAGATATTAGACCATTACCAAAAGCACCACAAAGAAAAGCAGGTAGAACAAATCCTAGGAAACGTCACACAGCTATACTAACAGATACACCCGAGGAAGAAAAATTAGAAAAACAAAAACAGGAAAGACAGGCGAAAAAATCAAGTGGAATTAAAAAGCGACAGTCAAAAACAATAAAGTTGGCGAAAAAAAAGTTAATTTTAAATGACGACGAAGAAGACGATACAATGTGTTTAGTTTGTTGTGAGTTATTTTCGTCCAGTCGCCCCAAAGAAAAATGGGTTCAATGCGTTAAATGCAAAAACTGGTCTCACGAAGCATGCACCAGTCAAGAAGATCGATATATTTGTCAACACTGTGACTCAGATGACGACATAGATTAGTTTTCTAGAGAATTTAAAGTTTTTAATTTTATAATTTTAATACAGTTCAATATTTTTCTTAAGTCAAAAAAGTTTCAAGTTATTTTTAAAAATGTATTATTCTTATAATCTATTATGTATTATTATTATTTTGTTTTTACAAAAAATGTTATTAGTTTTTTTTATATAATTTCTTAAAATGAGTTTATGAAAATATTAATTTTAAGGTTAATACCTGTTTTTAATTATTATCAATCAAAAATATTTAATATTTATTATAATACAGTAATTTGTTATACAAAATAAGTTTGTTTAATTTTGTGTCAATATGCCCCAATGCCTGTGTCAACTAACCCCGATTCCGGGGTTAGTTGACACAAAAATTTTATTTTACATTTAAAATTTTGTACAAAAAAGGGTTAAATATTTAGACTATATAATGATTTGATTTCATAGCTTACATGTTAATGAAAGGATACATACAAATTCGAGCATTTAAAATGGAAATTCTGATCGTGGAAAGAAAAATTGTATAAAGTGTGTCAACTAGCCCCGGTCTCCCCTATACAAGCATTTGAGGCAAAATTAAAATTATTTATTAATCAAATTGAGTGAAGTGACTTTAGTCATTTTGAAAACTGCCAAATATTTAAGAACAAAACGAAATCATTATGTTCAACAAATCGATTTGTAGAAATGTTAAAAAAATTACAAACCGATTTTTCATCTCGATTTTCAGACGTTAAACTGACACAGCAGTGGCAACCAGTACAAAGTATAGGTACCGCAGCGACCAGTCTGCGCTTTTGAAAACCACCACCACGGGCTACGAGCACGACATCGCCAACTCTCCCACCACGCCACAGAGGCAAGGCGGGACGGGAAGGCGAGTCGCGCAAGACGAGTACCGGCCGCATATTAACAAAGTGTACATGATCTCGGCACTGCATATAGAATAACCCATTTTCATTGGCCGATTCAAAACCTATTCATTTTACCGCGCATTTTCCTGCTGCAGATATTTTGATAACAAAATTATTATCAATTACATTTGCTAGGTATATATATAATATATATATAATGTATTTATTACCGAGTAGTAAAATATAATAGTTATGAAAGTAAATATTATAAATTATAATATAGGTACCACTTATTTTGATCTCGGCTTTGTAGAACACAGTATACCTACCTAAATGATTAATAATTAAATTATTTAAAATTAAAAGAATGTTTAGTGATTTATGAACGGTTAAGAAAAATGTTTTAGTACATTGTTTCATATGATACTCTATGCATGAAGAGGTTAACAATACATAATTGCAATAAATTACATAACCAAACACATTTAAATATCGTCACTATAACAACAGAAAAAAGTAAAAACAATGATATATCATTTATAGCAGGAATAAACTTTGTGAAAAATTAATATCAATGTTTCATTTAAAATAAACTATTTATTAGTCATTCCCATTAGTCGTTCCCATTTTGACATAGTTATTAAAGTATTAATATAATATGCAACATTGCAACAACTACCTATTAATCTAATGTGATTTAGCATTTGGTTGGTTTTTTCCAATGTTATGCTGTAAGTTTCTTTTTCTTTTAATTTTTTTTATTTTTTCATCAGATGGTGGTCGACCAACAGCTAATCGTTTGCATCCTCTTGTTACTTCTGGTCTTCTCCGACTAATTGAAGTAGGTTGAACATGTATTTTCGATTTAGCTCCAAGGCGAAAAGAAATTTGTTTTCCACAAGTGGCTAAAAATGTTTCCCATGAATTTCTTGTTTTTACATTTTTTAACTTTTTTA